GAAAGAGATGATCATTAATGTCTCTCCTTCTACCATGTCTCCCAGGCCTGACATGTTCCCTCCCCAGGTGCCAAGGTTGTTCTCCCTCTACTGTCGGAAAAATTGATGTGTTCTAGTCCAATAACTAGAACGTCACCATTTTTCCAATCATCCGCCACTCACACCTTTCATCCGGAAGTGTCAGGTACAAGAAGGACAGGACATTTTGTGTGTGTGTGTGAGGAAGATTGTCCCGGAGCTAACATCTGTGCCAATCTTCCTCTATTTTGTATGTGGGACGCTGCCACAGCATGGCTTGATGAGTGGTGTATAGGTCCGCACCTGGGATCTGAACCTGCAAGTCCCAGGGCCGCTGAAGCGGAACACGTGAACTTAATCATTACACTACCGGACCAGCCCCAGGACGTTTTTATAAAACTTACAGAGACTCATTATGTCCCCACTCCACATTTGGCCCACTGTTGGGGGACTCAAAGAGAGGGGTGTACACACTGAGTGCTCTAGTCATTCTCATGATCCAGGACCACATCAGTCCAACAACAGAATCCATGTGGTTGAACTATAATTCACTTTGAGTCTCCTAGGCCCCTCTTTGACTGGGCTGCCACCTGGGAATTGCACCAACCAGTCTGGCTGGGGCTGCTGTGAGGGGAAAGAAAGAAGCATTATGTTCAGGAATGGTGAGCATGGAATCCTGAATTTTCAAAACTGGTCTCACCCCTCTCATCTTGATCATTATGAAGGACATGGCCAAGAGGATGTGGCTCCATCCTGAGGACAGCCACATTCATGATTGAACTTCCATACTGAGGTGTATGGACCAGGAGGGAGAGCCAGAAATGTTTTTGAGTTGATTTTTGAGGAGGCTATTTCAATGCTCAACAGTACCATATGACTGTGGATGATGGGGAGTATGGAAGGACCGCCAAATAGCTAGGCCATCAGCCCGATGTTGAGTAGCTTTGGGGATAAAAGGTGCACCATCATTAGGCTTCAAGCGGTCCAGAAAGCCAAAAACATGACACAGATTAGTCTCAAGAACCACAATGGTATGGCCAGAGTTGGCTGATTGGACTGAAACAGTTCCACTTCAACCTGAAAAAGTGTGAGGCACCACTGATAGCCCCAAAAGTCAAAGGTCCTGTGCATTCAGTCGCAATGCCACATACACTGTGGCTTCCCTCTTTGCAGGGCAAACAGGTGAACTTTTGGCAGGAATCACAAGTCTAGCATGGAATGGTAACCTCTGCATCAGAAGCATAGAGTCCTTTACTTTGTGCCCACTCCATGATGGTGGACATGTTGCCATGTATGGTATGATGATGGATCCAGGCAGAAAGGGAGACAATCTGGGAAGTACAGCCTCGATCAACACCTTGATTCCTGTCAGCCTCATCAGAGAATGGGCCCTTAGCATGGGTACCTACATAAGTGATCTAGATGGTTGATCAGCTGTGATTTGTTTCCACAGTTAGCTGAAAACATTGCCATCCAAAGCCCTCTACTGAGCAGGAGACAATTTCTATTACTGATATTGTCTATCTCACATTTGGGGATTACTTGACTCAGCAACCATAGCCACGTTGCTTTCCTGCTGGAGATGCAAGGTTCACACTCTTTTGCTGACAAGGACTTGAGTTGATCAGTCTAGCTAAAGGTTTGTCCATTTTGTTGATCTTTTCAAAGAACTAACTTGTAAGTTAGTTGATATTCTCTCATCTTTACTAGAGCCTTCTTTCTGCTTGATTTGGGTTTAGTTTGCTCTTCTTTTCCTAACTCCTTAAGATGGAAGCTTAGGTTATTGATTTGAGACCTTTTTCATTACAAGAATTTACAACTATAAATTTCCCTCTAAGCACTGCTTTGGCTGCATCTCATAAGTTTTGGTATGTTGTGTTTTCATTTTCATTAATCTCAAATAATTTTCTAATTTCTTTTGTGATTCTTCTATGACCCATTAGTTAGTGAGGAGTATGTTGTTTAACTTCCACATACTTGTGAATTCCTCATTTCCTTCTGTTATTGATTCCTAATTTCATCCCATTGTGATCTGAGAACACAGTATGATTTCAACCCTTTTAAATTTGCTGAGACCTGTTTTATGGCCTAACATATGGTCTTTCCTTGAGAGTTTTCCATGTATTCTTGAGAATAATATGAATTCTGCTGTCTTTGGGTGGAGTATTCTATAGATGTCCGTCAGGACTCAGGCTTGACTTGCACAGCTGTGACTTTTCTTTTTTAAGGAGACCACCTTGATAGAGGGTATTTCTGTCCTATTGTCATAATAACATCTCTTGTTTTTGCCTTGTTTTAATATAAAGGCTAGGAGAGTCTTCCAGGGCAGTGGAGCTGATCACAAGAATTTATCTAGGGTTTTCTGGGTCACATTTATCAGCATCATAAACCTAAACTAAGACAATAAGAGCCCAAAGAATAATCAATGCCTCATCTGTGTTTTCCTATGGAAGTTTGTCTGTCTCAAGGAAATCTCCCTAAGAGGGATGAAGCTCCCTTGTAGCAGACAGGACCCAGTGGAAAAAAAAAAAACCCTGAGACCTTTTACTGTCATCTTGGAATGGATACAAGGTTGGCGTGATAGACTGTAGGAGGGGCTGAGCTGTACGATGGTCTGGCTCTTGCCAGTCTTCCTTACCAAGCATCACATGCCCTGCCCCTCATCTCCCAAGTGAGCCAACCTAAGGTCTAATGATTCATCTGGGTTTTGTCCATAGCAGTAGTGAATTTCCATCCATTCATGTTTAGTGTATGTTTGTGTCTGTAAGTGCTGTCTGAAGGGGGGTGGAAACTTCTGAACTCCCAGGATGAGTCTTAGTACTGGTTGTTACAATGACGCAGACCTGAGGCCGACCACTGGTTGGTGAGGAGCTACCCCACCTCTCCCCAACCGCACCCAGAGGAGATTAGCAACTACCAGGGCGATGCCTGGTAACTGACTTTGCTTCAAAGCCAACTTCCTGGTACTCGACCTGCAACTCCCTCACTAATTCCTTCTCATGAACAAGAAATGAAACTGAAGAACCTTTATTGTTTGGTTGACTATACAATTGGGTCAACATATGTGCTGCGATTCCCTTGGTCTTTCCTCAAAACCTGTTAATCAGCCCATGAGGTCCTCATCCTTCCTCTTACAGAAAACCGTGTTTCTGTCAGCATCCCACCCTCATGGCCAAAACGATCAAGAACTGTGAAAGGTCTTTGATTTTACCCTATTTTCAAACAAATAAGTTAGAGTGACACAAGTTCATGGATGCTGGCAGAAGACCTGAGACTTCTGGATCAAAGACAAAGGACTACTGCAGCACAACAAGCATTAGGAATGTGAGCGTATTTGTATCACTTCCCCTTACCCTCAAGTCTCATGATGGCAGTGCAGATGGACTCACACAGATGTCTACGCACATGGTACGTTGTGTTACAGGAGAGGGACTCTGAGCTTAGGGCACCCAAATATTGTGTAGTGGGCAGTAACTTTGCCTGCCCTTTGCTCTAGAGGGAGCCACCATCTCTGTTGTCCAAGGCTGTCCACTATACAAAGATCTGGGAAAAGACAGCCCAGAACAAAGATGGTGCCTCTGCTGACTAGACCTGCAGAAATGCGAGAGACTGGGAGAGAACTAGCTGCTATCACCTCTCCCCTCACATCTCAATAAATTCTCACAGCAACCCCTCCGAGTCGGTATAACCAGCCCTGTTTACAGATGAGGAGTTGAAGTCCAGAAAGGTCAAGTAAATTACTCCAGGTGACACAGCCAGTAAACAGCAGATTCAGGATCAAAACCAGGCCTGCCTGATTCCAGGCCTGTGCCTTGTCCACCTGCCTGTGGAACTTGAGGCAGGGAGCGGCCCTGAGGGGACAAAGATGATGGGACTCCCCTTGAGGAGTGGGAGAGGAGGAATGCAGGGAGAGTGGGAAGAGACGAGGGGGGCCAGAGGCCCATTTGTAGGACCTTGGAGACCATCGTAAAGAGTTCGGATTTTTGTCTAAATGTGATGGGGAGATGCCAGAGGGTTTTAAGCAAAAGAGTGACATGATCTGATTTATATTTTAAAAGAATTACTCAGTCTCCTGCTCTGTAAAATGGGGATAACAGTAGTACCTACCCCATTAGGTCACGAGGAGTAAATGCAAGGGGATTAAGTGGGAGGATGAGTAAGGGTCTTGGTACCAGGCAGAATAGGCCATGATGGACATTGGATATTGGCCATGATGATGACCACACAGAAGGGCGCATTGAGGAATTCAAGCTCAGAGCCAAAGATGGTAAGGACCTGGAGGGTCTTTGCATACAGACTAGAGTCCAAGAGTCCCTCTAGCCAGCTTGGCAGAACTGACCTGGGATCAGGCCCTGCGTCAGGTACACTACTGCCCGAGAGTCTGCTGGTCGATGGAGAGAGGGAAGAGGGGAATAGGGCTCCCCAGGTAAGCAGGAGGCAGCAAGGGTCAGAAAATGGCAGTCCCGGGGAGTCTATGCAGGAGGAAGATGGGGCTAGGGGGATGGCACTCAATCTTCAGGTAAGACGGAGAAAGCGTGTGCTGTCCGGTCAAACAAGAAGGTTGCCGCTGAGATTAGGAGGGTCTAAGTCCCAGCTCCTTCTCCACTGCCGTGGTGTACAGCCTTGAGGCACAGGCTGCACGTCCGGGGACTGCTGCCTGCCCCATCTGGCTTCTCCAAATCTCAAAACAGAGGATGTGTATGGAAAAAGAACACAGAAGAAAAAAAAAATCACCTGGGGCTGGCCCCGTGGCTGAGTGGTTAAGTTCGTGCGCTCTGCTGCAGGCGGCCCAGTGTTTCGTTGGTTCGAATCCTGGGCGCGGACATGGCACTGCTCATCAAACCACGCTGAGGCAGCGTCCCACATGCCACAACTAGAAGGACCCACAAAGAAGAATATACAACTATGTACCAGGGGGCTTTGGGGAGAAAAAGGAAAAAAATAAAATCTTAAAAAAAAAAAAGAGAGAGAGAAAAAAAATCACCAAGGTCAATGTTCAGGGAGCACTGGTAACTTTAATAGCAACCCACTCAAGGAGAACATAACAGTCACAAGTATTTGTAATAAGCTCTCATCACCACCCTCCAGCAGACATCCCTCAGCTGCAGCCAGGACCGGAACTGCGCATGCCCAGCACAGCGCTTTTCCGGTCAGCAGGCTTTTCGCTGGTGGCATCAGTCCCAGGCCCTGGGGGTAGAGGGTGGGCAGACTGGGACACAGAACCGGCTGAAGGGGAGGAGTCTTGAAATAGGATGAAAGGTGAAGCGAAGACGATCCCCGCCTGGCCTGCCTCGGTTGAAGCGAGAAGCACTGGGGCCTGAGGAGGCCGCACGCGGGCAAGGGGCCGTTTGTCACTATCACGGGTGCTGTTGTTGTTGTGAGAGCGCCACGGCCCTGCGGGCCCCCAGTCCGGTGTGTGCGGAAAGGGAACCCCCAAGGGAGGCCAAGGCCAGCAGGGATTTCTCAAGCCAGGGGCTCCCCACCACCCGCGGCGGGCAGGAAGGGCGATCCTGCGCAGCCACTTCCGGGTCCTGCGACCTGAGCGGCGTTACCACGGAGACGCCCCTCCCGAGGCCTGGCCAGTCGAAAGTTTTGCCGGCTGGGCTCCCGGGGAGGGGCGCGCCAACGGGGCGGGGCCAAGTCGGCAGCAGACACGCCCCACTCTGGGCAGCGCGACTTCGGAGGAGCACAGCGAGCGTCATTTCCGCCCTCAGCCTCCGCCCAACGAGGAGGGGGCGGGGCCGGCGGAAGGCGCGCCGCTTGAGCGTCACCTCCGGCGAGCCTAGCGGCGACAACGGCAACATGGCCCTAAACGGCGCTGGTGAGGACTTGGGTTGCCAGGGCCTGTGGCTGTGGGGTACGGGAGGCAGCGTGCTCAGGCGAGACCCCCCGGTCCCTTGTGCCTCTCTTCCCCCAGAAGCCGACGATTTCTCCTGGGAGCCTCCGACCGAAGCGGAGACGAAGGTGCTGCAGGCGCGACGGGAGCGGCAGGATCGCATCTCCCGACTCATGGGCGACTACCTGCTGCGTGGTTACCGCATGCTGGGGGAGACGTGCGCGGACTGCGGGGTGAGCAGAGACTCGGGCCGTGGGATCGGGCATGGGGCCGCGGACTAGGCCGCACGGCCCTTCCCCGACTCTCCCTTCTGGACCCCATTGCCCAGCGTCTCACCCCTGTCCCCTGTGCTTTCTGTTCTCTAGACGATCCTCCTCCAAGACAAACAGCGGAAAATCTATTGCGTGGCTTGTCAGGAGCTCGACTCAGACGTGGATAAAGATAATCCGGGTGAGAGGATGAGTGTGCTTGGTTGGGCAGAAGCGTGGAGTTAGAGGCCCGGGAGCAGTGGGCCTGGGAGGTGACAGTGGAGTCTGTGGGTGGGGCCGAGGTAAGGTGCGTTCCCCTTTCAGCTCTAGAAAGGCCCATTCATTCAGTAACAGCTCCAAGCACGTCTTGTGTGCCAGACACTATGGAGAGTCTGAACTCAATCAGCCATAGTCCTGATGGGAGAGATGAAGCAAGGGCATAAGTAACTCTGATACAAAGAAGAAAATGGATGAGTTGCTTTATAGAGGGGCAAGGAAAACATCTCAAGCACAGAGAGAGCAGAGCAGTAAAGAGTAAGGAGGTGGCTCAGGACTGAGGCTGGCTGGGCATCCTGACCATTCCACCCACTTTCTCCTCTTTTAGCTCTGAATGCCCAGGCTGCCCTCTCCCAAGCTCGGGAGCACCAGCTCGCCTCTGCCTCGGAGCTCCCCTTGGGCTCTCGGCCTGCCCCTCAGCCCCCAGTACCCCGGCCCGAGCACTGTGAGGGAGCTGCAGCAGGGCTCAAGGCAGCTCAGGGGCCACCCCCTGCTGCTGTGCCTCCAAATGCAGCTGTCGTGGCCTGCACCCAGGAGGCCCTCCTGCAGAAGCTGACCTGGGCCTCGACGGAGCTGGGCTCTAGCACCTCCCTGGAGACCAGCATCCAGCTGTGCAGCCTTATCCGGGCATGTGCTGAGGCTCTGCACAGCCTGCGGCAGCTGCAACACTAAGAATCCCCTGCTGAGAAAAACCCTCCAGAAAAACAGCTGTTCCTCTTGTGTGGTTTGTTCTTTTCTTGGTTCTGAGCGTGCATGCCACCTCGCCTTTTTCTTGCTTTTGGCCTCTCCCCCTACCACTGTCTGCTCTCCTTGATGCCTTGAGAGATGAGTTGGGCTTGTTTCTGCTCAGTTTCCCCACTCAGAGGTTGAGGGGGGACGGAGAGGGCTATGTGATAGTTTTTTTCTGAGGAGGAGGCCACAGCGTCCTCGAAGGGAGGGATGGACCTCTGCAGGACCCCTGCAGGCTTCTCCGCCATGCTGTGCTCATCCCCACCCCTGAGTGAGATTTGGGGCTCCAGTCTCCTGGTAGCTTCTCCTCCTTCGCCTGAGCATCCTGATACCCTCCTGCCCAGGCCAGGTACTCAGACACTGACAGGGCATCAGATTGCACGGTAGTGACCAAGTGTGGACTTAACCCAGTCTCTTGACCACCACTTTTAGATCCTTTTCCTTGGGAGTTATAACTGGGCAGAATAATTTAACACAGTGTTCGGGGGCGGGGGGGGGGGGGGCAAAAAGAGTCGTGAAGGAACCGGGCCTGCCGCTTTTGGTTTCTTTCCTCCTCCCCTTTTCCGTCTCCCCTTCGGTCGGTGCCGCAGCCGTTGCCCTTTTAAGAGAGGCCCCGCCCGCCCGGAGGGGGTGGGGCAGGGGCGGAGTCGGAGGAGTCGGGGAAGGAACAAAGCGCGGCCTGCGGGCGGCGGCTGGGCTCGGCCGGCGGGGCCGGGGTGCGGGGCCTGCGGTCGGCGGCCCCGGCGGAGCTTTGGAGGGAGGGCGGCGGCATCGCCGTCCGCGGCGGCCCGGCCATGAATGGGCTGCCCTCGGTCGAGGCGCCGGGCGGCGCGGGCTGCGCCCTGGCTGGGCTCCCGCCGCTACCGCGCGGCCTCAGCGGTCTTCTGAACGCGAGCGGAGGCTCGTGGCGGGAGCTGGAGCGCGTCTACAGCCAGCGCAGCCGCATCCACGATGAGCTGAGCCGCGCCGCCCGCGTCCCGGACGGGCCCCGCTCCGCCGCCGGCGCCGCCTGCGCGGGACCCGCCGCCGGCCCCTCCGGCCCGCGTCGCCCTGTCAACCTGGACTCGGCACTAGCGGCGCTGCGCAAGGAGATGGTGAGTAGTTGGGTCCCGGGCCAGCTGGGCTGGGGGCTGCCGCCGGGCAGAAGATCCTGGCGCGGGGCAGAGCGCAGAGGCGGGGAACCAGGTATGCGGCCTGGGTCTCAGGACCTGCAGAAGCCCGTGGGGTCAGACGGGATGTGGTGACAGTAATTATAGTTACCGTTTATAGCGAAAGTTGCCGTGCAGTTTTAAATGCTTTGCTTGTGTTATTTTATTCCATCCTGTTAGATGAATGTTGTCCCCATTTTACAGATGAGGGTCGGTGACTTGTCTAAAGATTCGTAGCTTGCAAGTGGCATCTGATGTCCACAAAAACTTGTTCTGGGGAAGGTACAGGAAGATTGGCTTGGGCTGAGGGTGGCCTGGACCCCAACCCCAGCCCACCCTCAGTCTTTTGCAGGTGGGGCTGCGGCAGCTGGACATGTCCCTGCTCTGCCAGCTGTGGGGCCTGTACGAGTCGATCCAGGACTACAAGCACCTGTGCCAAGACCTGAGCCTGTGCCAGGACCTGTCATCCTCCCTGCACTCGGACAGCTCCTACCCACCTGATGCTGGCCTGTCTGATGACGACGAGCCTCCTGATGCCAGCCTGCCCCCGGACCCGCCACCCCTCACTGTGCCCCAGACGCACAATGCCCGTGACCAGTGGCTGCAGGACGCCTTCCACATCAGCCTCTGAAGAGCTGGGGGAGCGAGGGTCATGCACCCGTGCAAAAGGCTCAGAAACTCACCCCTCAGCAAGGATTCAGACTATAGTGCCTGCTTTCCCCATACCAGCTCACCTCAAGGAGCGCAAGGCTTGGGCCCCTCAGAGGCAAAACTGCCGACCCCTCTCCCCCGTCTTGGGTTAGCTGGCACTGGGGCGGGCACCTGGCTACAGGCTCTGCCCCCGGCACTGGACCTCCACTTCTCCCACATGTGTGCACCCCAGCTTGGCCACCCCTCAGTCTGGCGGTGGGGCCCAAAGCATCTTGCGCTCCCCTTGGCGCCTCTGCATTAGGAGGAGTGCCTGGCTCCCACCTCCTTTTCACCTTTTGCTGCTGTTGGCAGCTGCTGGCTCAGGGGCATCCCACCTTTGGTCCCTGGGTTCCACTGCCCTGGACAAGGGCTCCAGAACCCATTCCTGCACCCACCCACGGCCGGGAGGGCCAAGGCTCCGTGCTGGATATTTAAGTTTAGGGGCCAGCCTCCTGGGCGCATAGATAAATAAATACTCTCTCAGCGTTCTTGTGTTCTGACTGCCTGGCTCTGGGGTGAGAAGACCGCGGAGTTTCTGGCAAGTGCCGCCCCGCGCTCCGCCGGCAGGTGGCGCCCGAGACCTCGACTGGAAGCGAAGCGTGGCGGTGGCACGGTGCAAAGCCTCCCTCCCCGGGCGGGGGTGCCCAGCGTTCCCAGCTGGCTAAGCCTAGTCCCGCGGTTGTGTGACTGTGGGCGAGTCACTTCCCCTCTCTTGCCGGAGGCCTGGGAGCCCAACTCCCCTCCCCACTCGCTTTGGGCTTTCCTGGCCGGCCGGGAAGGAAGGAGAAGGAGCCGCCCATCTTGAGGAGAGAAACTTTCCACCCCGAGTGGAGGCGGAGTTGGGGCGGCACAGGAAATGGGTGGGCCCTGGCCGGCGGGCCGAGGGGCCCCTCGGCAGGAGAGGGAGAGGGGAAGGCGCCTCCAAGAAGGCCTGGAAGCTAGTGAGTGCCCTATGGGTGGGAGGAAAGAGCTGCAGAGGCAGAAGGGGATGACGTCGCGGTGCCCCAGGCCTCCCCAGAGGCCAGACAAGCCCTGGAGAGGAGATGGGGGAAGGGCCCCAGATTTGGTGCAGGAGATCCCAGGGGCGCTGAGAGGTGATTGGGGTCCCAGACAGACCGCCTGGCTCCCCCTACAGTACTTGGGACCTTTAGGGTTGTAGATAAAAGGCTTTCTCTTACAGAGGACATGGAGGACCACACCTCTGCGACTGGGAGCCAAACCCAGTGTGACGTGCGCTGAAAGAAGCTTGCACCTTTGGGGACAGAGGGGGCTCAGACCACACACACAACAGCCCCATAACTTCCTGAGAGGAAGAGCGGACCTCGAAATTGCACACTTAGGCTCACAGGCCTCTCCTCCCCGAGTTCTGCTGCATAGTCACTTGCCTCCCGGAGACAACTCAGCTGGCACTCCTGGCAGATCAGATGTCCTGTTCAAACCTAGTGTTTACCAAGCACCAGGCTTCCGTCCATTCACAAACCCTGCAGAGCGCTGGCACCGGGGGAGGAGCCCGGCCCACTTCTGGCCCCAGGGCAGTTCTCTAACTCCCGCCCTGACACCCACAGCGCCTCATTACCCCACAAGGCGGTGGGGAGGCGATAAGGGCTCTAATCTAGGTGTGAACAGAGCGGCTAACGCCTGTGACAGGCATCTCAGGGGAAGGAGAGTAAACACACACACACTTTCCTGTCCATGATAACGGATTCCATTTAATGAGACCTAGCAAAATCAGCCAGGCTCCCTACTAAATGCTTTCCAAGGTTTCAGCCACTCAAGGACTCTGTAAAAGCTGGAACTATAATTATCCCTATTTAACAGAGGCAGAAACTGAGGCTCAGAGTGTTAGCGCTCTGCCCAAGGTCACACACTTAGAAGGAGCTCCTTGTGGGATGTTGGAACCATCTTCCCACTTGACAGTTGAGGAGTCAGGTTCCCGGACCAGCGAATGGATGCTGCCCACAGGTAGGGCCACCCAGCTTGGCCCCTGACCCTGTGCCTTTCTGCTTTGGTTAAGACATGGGTGGCAGCAGGAGTTCGACAGCCACCCCAGTGTTGAGGACAGTTGGCTCTGGCCCAGATTCGAAGTGTGACCCTGAGCAAGTCTCTTCCCCTTTCTGAGTCTCTGTTTCCCCAGCCTGTGAAATGGGGCCACGAATACCTACCTCCCAGGGCTGCGGGCAGGAAGGGAGGCGGCACCAAGTTGCCGGGTGCCCTCTCCAGGGCCGCGCGTCCACACGCCTCGGCGCGCATCGAGCAGGCGCTGCGGTCCCCGCGTCCCCCCTCGTGCCCCTCGTCCCCCCCACCGCGGTCGCCGCGAGAGGCCCCGGAAGCCGGGCCGCCCCGCCCCCACGCCGCCGCCCGGCCCCCGCCCCCGCCGGAGCCCCGCCCGCCTTCCGACGGGGGTGCGGCTCCAGGAAACGGCGCGCTCGCGTCTCGGCGCTCCGGCGACCCGGCGCGCCCCAGACGACCCCACCGACTCAGCCAGACCACCCGGCGGGCCCCGGGCGCGCTAGCGGCCCGAGCGGCCCCGGGTCCGAGTCAACGACACCTCCGCACGGACGGGGCGGGCGGCGCGGATAGGAGCCGCGGAGGCCATGGGGACCCAGGCCGGGCCGGCGATCGCGGGCCAGCGGGAGCCCCGGGTCTGAGGAGCGGACGGCGGGGGCGGCGAGGGCCATGACCTCGGTGTGGAAGCGCCTGCAGCGCGTGGGCAAGCGGGCCGCCAAGTTCCAGTTTGTGGCCTGTTACCACGAGCTGGTGGTGGAGTGCACCAAGAAATGGTGAGTGGGAAGGAGGCCTGGGGGACTCCCCAGACTGGCTGGGACCCTATCCAGCCTTTGGAGCCTGAGAGAACCCTGCCTCCAGTCCAGTAGCTAAAGGGGCCCCTACCCCAGCTTGGGCCCTGGTGTCGCAGCCACAGTGACTCAAAAGTGCCCTTGCAGCTTAAGGGACCCCTAGTGTTGGGGGTGTGGGCAGCTTTGGGCCAGTGGAGGGGAAGACTTCTAGGCCTGAGAATCTATCTGTGCCCACACTTTCTTTGGCCGTGCTCGGGGCTGGCGAAGGGAAGCCTCATGGTTTTGACCAGAGGGATGGTTCAGGATGACATCAGAAAAGGGAGCAAGTTTTGAGGTTTGTGGGTGGCAGTGCTGGGACAGAGACCTCCCTGGACCTGCGTCCAGCTCAGAACAAGGATGCTGCCCCCTCCTCCCCTGCCTACTTGTTGAGCCAGAGGAACCCCCCTGCTTCAGCCAGAGTGGGAGCTGGGAGGCTGGATAGTCTCCACGATGTCCTTAAAAGGGGAAACTGAGCACTGGGAGGGATGAGAAGGGAGGCGGGGAGCAGCTTAAAGGGGCCTGAGGGCCTCGTAGGGTGTGGATCCCGGAGGAGAGGGCCTGGGGAGGGCGAGGTGGTGGGGTGAGGGGAGATATAGGAGGGGGTGCAGGATCTGGCCCCAACTGCCAGAGGGCCCAGGGGCATCTCCTTCACATGCTCCCACCCGCAGCTGCCCGGGCCCCTGCGTCACACCCTAAATATACGTACTCATGGTGTCAGCTTCCCTTGGCTGGATTAGGGCACAGCTGTGGGGGCCTCACCCGCCAGGCGGGGCTAAATTTAGGCTCCCAAAAGGAAGGGCTGCCTCAGCAGGCAGGAACCATGGAGTCCAAGGGGAGGGGAGTGAGAAGGAGGCTGGGGTCCCTTGGGCAGCTGCCAAATCCCCGATCTTGACTGGGCCAGCCAGAGGGCTGTCTAGTTCATTTGGCTGGGCCCAGAGAGCACAAGGGCTGGCTGAGGTAACACAGCACAGGGCTGGGACTTGAACCATGGCCTCTGGCTCATGCTTTCTGTCCCAGCATCCTGGGTGAGGCCAGGAGGACGCTGGGCATGGTCTGGGAGAGCAGGCGGAGCTGTGGGACAGTGTCAATGCATGTGAGTCATGGCCGGTTGGGGGGGGTGGGCAGGGCCACCAGGGCTTCTTAGCCTGGAGCCCAGGCTAGGAAGCTGCCCCTGCCCAGGTCGCACCTCCCCTGGAGGGCGTACCCAGCCTGAGTCAGGCTGCCTAGCCAGGCCCCGCCCTCCCTAGGCAGCCCTGTCCGCTTCCCCTTTCTGGGAAGGCCCCGTGGCTACCCTTACCCAGCCATAGCCTGCAGTTTGGGGTTGGGGAGGGAAGCTTGGCTCTAGGCTTAGTTGTGTGACCTTCCCTGGCCCCCAACTTCTCTGGGCCCCAGCATCCTCAGTTGCACTGTGCACCTCCAGCGGGGCAGTGGGCTGGGTGAACCTGAGCCTCTTGGCGTGGCAGTGGGTACAGGCAAGGAGGGCTCTCGTGCTGCCCTCGGCCTGATGGTCCCCTCAACTGTCCCCAACCTCCTGAGCAGTGGTTGACCCTCTAACCCAAAGGGGCCCTCATCCTCCTAGGCCCAGCCACGTGGCAGACGACTGTCTCCTCTCGCTGTCTGTGTCCCTACATCGCTCTGCCTCTCCTCTGCCCCAGTCTGCCCCTGTCTATGCTGTTCAGTTTAGATGTCACCTTCTGGAAGTCCTCCTGGATGCCCTCGTGGGAGTCAGAGACCCTGCAGAGCTAGGGTGCAGGGCTCTGGGTTTGAGAGGTGGGGAGCATGGCTGACTCCCGGGGCCCCTGGACCCAGCAAAGGGAGGGTCTCTAATGATGAGCTGACCCTCTGCCCGACTCTGACCATGCACCTCCCCCCAACTTCGGAACCTTGCCCTTGCCATTCCCTCTACCTGGAGCCTGCCCTCTCCAGACCTCACATGGCCCACCCCTCCCGCACTCACGCCTCTGCTCAGATACCCACCTCAGGGAGACCCAGCGGCTCTCTCCCGTCTCCCTGAGTCAGCTTGTTAATTTGTGTCCCATCTTGATTGGCGCTCTTCTCCCACCTCCGTGGCCCTCAGCCCCAGAAGGGTCTTGCCTCTCCTCTGCCCTGCTCTGCCCCCGAACTGGGCTGGGTTTATAGAATGCACTCCACAAATATTTGTGAGTGAATGGCCTCCTGCTCCCAGTCTGTCTCTCCCTGTGTGTCTGAGTCTGTGTGTCTCTTGCAGGGTCCTTGCTGTGTTTCTGTGTAGCTCTCTGTCTCTCTGTGTGCCTGTCTCTGTAGGTCTCTAATTCTCTTGCTCTCTTTCTTCATAATCCCTGACCCAACTCGGGCCTTTGCCCTTCTGTCCCAGGCCCCACCCTGCCTAGCAGCCCCACCCTGCTCTCTCTGGCCCCAGATAAGGGGCCATCCAGGCCCTCTCCTGGGGGAAGGGGATGAGGGCAGAAGGGAGACCCTGGAGGAGATGGAGAGGCTGGGTGGGCCTGACTGAGTAGCCCCCTCTTCACCCACAGGCAACCAGATAAGCTGGTGGTGGTATGGACCCGGCGGAACCGACGCATCTGCTCCAAGGTGGGGGAGGATGTCAACTGGCGCTCCAGGTTGGGGGGTGGGGCCAATGGGGGAGTGTGGGGAAAGCGGGTGAGGCCTGATGGGGAAATGGAGTCAGACTCCGGTTCAGATCAGCATCCACAGAATGGAGAGAAAGATGGGGTCAAGGTTGGAAATAGGGGCAAGGGGTGAAGGGGACAGTTAAGATTGGAGGGAGGACGCAGACTGCTCATTGCAGCCCCACAGCTGGCAGCCGGGCATCCAGAACCCGTACCGGGGCACCGTGGTGTGGATGGTACCGGAGAACGTGGACATCTCCGTAACTTTATACAGGGTGAGTCTCCTCCTGCATAGATGGGAATGGGCTGGTGATTACAACCCCAGGCAGCTACAGGGGTGCCCTGGAGGGTTATCCCTCCAAATAGGAAACAACAGGTGGGTGAGACCAAGAATCAAGGCGGGGTGCCTACTCAGCACGAGTAGCCCAGGAGGTCTTCCTGGAGGAGGTAGCATTTACCCGCCATGTATAGGATGACAGACAGCTCGGATCAGGAAAAGCTGGGGAGCTTCTTGGGCAAGAGGGACCAGCATGTGTGAAAGCTCCAACCAAACACCTCCAGAGCCAGTGCAGGCCCCTTCCCCTGCACGGCCCCCACCCCAGCAACCCCTGTACTCACCAGTGCCTCCTTTTCCTAGGACCCCCACGTGGACCAATATGAGGCCAAAGAGTGGACATTTATTATTGAGAATGTGAGTGGCCGGGGTGGGCTGCGGCCTGGGGGTCTCGGGAACTCTGGGGCAGCACTGATGGTCCTTTCTCCCGCCCCTCCCCTCGGCCCCCAGGAGTCCAAGGGGCAGCGGAAGGTGCTGGCCACGGCTGAGGTGGACCTGGCACGCCACGCAGGGCCCGTGCCTGCCCAGGTCCCGCTGCGGCTGCGGCTGAAGCCCAAGTCGGTGAAGGTGGTGCATGCCGAGCTGAGCCTCACTCTCTCCGGGGTGCTGCTGCGGGAGGGCCGCGCCACGTGAGTGCCCACCCGCCCTCCTTGGCCCTGGTCTGCCAGCTCTGACTGCGGCCCTCACCCTGACCTCCGCCCCCAGGGACGATGACATGCAGAGTCTTGCAAGTCTCATGAGCGTGAAGCCTAGTGACGTGGGCAACTTGGACGACTTTGCAGAGAGTGACGAGGAGGAGGCTAATGGTCCAGGGCCCCCTGAGGCACGGGCTCGTGTCCCCCCACCAGGTGGGCTTACAACCTGCCATGGATTGACATCACCAAGACCTGGGGAGGGTGGGGGTATCCCAGGCCGTTAAGCCACTTGCTGTGTTGGGCGGGCCAGCTTGTGCGCGCCCAGTAATGGGACTCATAGCCTGCTGGCAGCCCCGATTGGCCAAACTTGGCCCCTGGTCCCATGGTGGCCTGGGTCCTTAGCTGAGTCCTGCAGGATGGGCTCCCAGTGGCTGCCCATGCCCCTGGCCCTCTCCTCACCCCCGAGAGGGTGCCTGCCCCAGGTCTCCACCCGCCCTGAGACAGCTGGGTCAAAAGCACACAGAGGGGCTGCAGGCCCTGCTCGCCACCCCTCACCACCCACCCTCATGCTCAGTCACCAGCTTCCTCATCCCTCCCTTGTGCTTGTTAAGGCTTTTTTTCTGTCTGTCCTTGTGGTTCTCTCTCTTTCTTTTTCCCTGCATCTGTGGGCCTGTCTCTTCTCGCAGGCCGGGGCGGTGCCCTGAGGCTGGGGCGTTCCTCAGGTAGGCCCGGCGCTCTAGTTGGGGGGAGGGGGTCAGACCTGCAGGGCCCTGCCTTGGGCTGACCCTTGGCTCCCCAAATCCCCCAGATCCCTCTCGGGAGCTGAGGACACTCTGTGAGGAGGAGGAGGAGGGCCGAGTACAGCCCCAGCAGGCAGGTGAGGCCCAGGCTGGGGTAGGGGGGACTGGACCTCCCGTCACAGGGCCCCGGCCTCAGTACCCGCTCCCTTCCTTCCTCCCCAGCTGCCAGCCCTGCTAGTGCTGAGGATACCAGCCCAGCCCCTGTGAGTGGCCCTGCGCCTCCAGCCAGGGCCTCCCGGGGCCAGGGGGCAGAACCATCTACTGTGGCTGGGGGCCCAGTGGGGCCTAAGGCCCCAAGGCCCCCGGGAATGCCACTGGAGACGAGGTGAGCTTTGGAACCAGGCCCACTCCCCATCCCCTGCCCACTGTTAGGAAGCAAGCAGAAGGGTGGGGGGTGGGGCTGAGAGTAGGGGGCCAAATGAACCCCCACAATGCCCCTTCCTGCTGTCTCCTCAGGTCCTCAAGACAGCCAGGCCAGGATGTGGCCCCAGCCCCAGCTCCTCGGCTCCGGAAAGGCTCTGATGCCCCCTGGCCCCCAGTCCCCCAAGGGGAAGACAAGGCCCCCAAAGCCTCAGGGGCTCCCCCAGCAGGCGTGGGTTCTGCTGGGGAGACGCAGGCCCAGGCAAGCCCTCAGGAAGGGACAGAGGCCCCTGCAGCTGGGCCGGCCCCAGGCGCTGAGGACAGAGGCTCCAGAGACTGTTCAGGAGGGCAGAAGCCTGAAGTGCAGGAGGAGGGCGCTGGGGACAGGCCAGAGGAGAGTGGGATGGACACTGAGCATGGGTCAGAAGTCAGACAGGTGAACACTAAGAGGTCAGAGGTCAGAGCTGGGGAGACTGAAGACAGTTCAGACGTTAGTCAAGTGGATGCTGAGCAGAGGTCAAAGGTGAGACAGGTGGACAGTAAGGGACCAGAGGCTACAGGGGTGACATCTGAGGCAAGATTCAAGGGAACTCCTGAGGTTCCTCCAAGGGGCTCTCAGGGGAGGATGGGGGTCAGGACCAGGGATGAGGTTCCCACAGTCCTGAGCCCACCCCTAGCAGGGTCTGCAGGGCACTCCGGGCATTTCAGTGACCTCAAAGGGGCCAGGGCTGCTACAGGCCAGGAGAGAGAGGATGCAGAGGTGAGGGGCGGCGCCCCTGGTGTTGGGGGGACAGGCCTGGAGCAGGGGCCCTCTGTTGGAGCAGCAAGCGCCAGTCCCCAGGTGAGCAGGTGCCAGGGGGCCCCCCCAGCAGCTGACCAGGGGGTGATGTCTAGGGATCTGGGGGTCTGGGAGGCAGAAGCTGGGGACTCAAGGGTCCTGGAAACAGAGACTGGGGTGGCAGAGTCAGAGGTATTGCAGACCCAGGAGAGCGAAGCAGTGGGACCAGGGTTCGCAGAGATGGAGACTGGGGCGGCAGCGGCTGAGATATTGGGGGCTCAGGAGACAGAGACCGTGACTCCAGGGGTCCTGGAGTCAGAGGCTGCTGGGATGGTAGAGCCTGAGGAACTGGGGACCCAGAAAACAGACGTGAGGATTTCAGGGGCCCTGGGGACAGAGGCTGGGACAGCAAAGTGTGGGGTCCTGGGGACCCAGGAAACAGAGGCTGAGGGCTCAGGAGTTCTGGGAACAGAGACTAGGAGGGCAAAGACTGAGATATTGGGGACCCAGGAGATATCTGGGAGTCCAGCGGTACTGAAGATAGAAGCTGAGATAGCAGAATCTGAAATATTGGGGGCCCAGGAGACAGGGGTGGGGGTTTCAGGAGTACCAGAGACAGAGGCTGGGAGGGCAGAGGCTGAGGCGCTGGGGACCCAGGAGCTGTCTGGTGATTCAGTGGTACTGAGGATAGAAGCTGAGATAGCAGAATCTGAAATACTGGGGGCCCAGGAGACAGAGGTGGGAGGTTCCCGGGTACTAGAGACAGAGGCTGGGAGGGCAGAATCTGAAATATTGAGGGCCCGGGGGACAGAGGTGGGAGTTTCAGGGGTCTCAGGCATAGAATCTGAGAGAGCAGGCATCCGGGAGACAGAGGTAGAGGGTTCAGGGGTCCCACAGTTTGAGAGTGAGACAGCAGAGGCTGAGGTGCTGGGGACCCAGGAGATAGCAGCCAGGGGTTCAGGGGCCTCAAGGATGGAAGCTCAGATAGCAGGGACCCAGGAGACAGAGCTGGGGGGTTCTCGGGTGCCAGAGACAGAGGCTGGGAGGGCAGAGGCTGAGGGGCTGGGGACCCAGGAGCTGTGTGGTGATTCAGCGGTACTGAGGGTAGAAGTTGAGATAGCTGGGGCCCAGGAGACAGAGGTGGGGGTTTCAGGAGTCTCAGGCATAGAATCTGAGGGAGCAGCCATCCGGGAGACAGAGGTAGAGGGTTCAGGGGTCCCAGAGTTTGAGAGTGAGACAGCAGAGGCTGAGGTGCTGGGGACCCAGGAGATAGCAGCTAGGGGTTCAGGGGCCTCAAGGATGGAAGCTCAGATAGCAGGGACCCAGGAGACAGAGCTGGGGGCTTCAGGGGTCTCAGGGCCAGAGGTTGGAATGGCAGAGACTGAGGGACTAGGGACTCAAGAGACGGAACCTACAGTTTTAGAGGCTGAGAAGGCAAAGGCTAAGACTTCGAGGGTCCAGGAGGCAGGGCTCCTGGGGAGCCTCACATACGAGGCTTTAAGGGCCCGGGTCACTAAGCGTGGAGTTTTAGGCACTGAGGGAGCAGAAGCAGAGACTACAGTTTTGAGGGTCCAGGAGGCAGAGGATGGGATTTTGGGGGTTTCAGAAGCCAAATCTGTGGTTTGGGAGCCCCAGGAAGCAGAGACGGAGGTTTTAGGGCCTCCAGAGAACCAATCTGATATTTTTGAGACCCAGGAAGCAGAGGTTGGGGTCTCAGGAACCGAGAAGGGAAAAGAAGCTGAGGGGAACCTCACAGAGGCCAGCCTGATTGAGCCTCAGCTGGCCAGTGGGGCAGGGACTGGGGTGCCCAGGCCCTCGGGGGCCTCTTCCCCAGAGGAGCCTGAAGAGGACAGGAGGCTGCCGGGCAGCCAGGTAGGGATGGGGGCCGCCGAGGGCCAGTCTGCTGCTTCCCACTAACCTGGGGCTGAGCGAACGGCGGCTCTGCATGGACCCACCTGGTCGACTGGGGTGGGGTGCACAGGGGCTCAGCTTCATGGAGCCCCCTCACCCCCTCCTCTCTCAGATGCCCTGGCTCCCCCACCCTGTATTCCCTGGGCTGCATGGAATGGGACCCCCCCTAAGCTGATTTTCTGGGCTGAACTTGAGGTGTGGCTGCTGATGAACTCTCATCTTGCCTGGGGGCCACTGATCTTTTAGGTGACCTTGGTAGATAACCCCAGAGCTGGAAACCCTTTGCCTGGCCCCGAGGCTCTGGCCCGTGGTCTCTGGTGACCCCTGCAAACCAAGACCTGGGGCTGTTTTGTCCCCAAGGTGCAGAGGGCACAGGTTCCATGTTCACATTCCCTGTGTCCCCAGGCACCACCTGCCCCGGTCAGCTCCAGCCAGTCGCTGCTGGAGTGGTGCCAGGAAGTCACCGCTGGCTACCGTGGAGTCCGAGTCACCAACTTCACTACATCGTGGCGCAATGGCTTGGCCTTCTGTGCCATCCTGCACCGATTCTACCCAGACAAGATGTGAGCTGCAGGAGTGGGGTGGGGTGGGGTGGGGTGGGGTGGGGCGGGAATGAATGGGGGAGTCTTCTGGGAGGGCAGTGTGCATCCAGCCTCTGACCGGTGCTCTCTCCGCAGTGACTATGCGTCCCTGGACCCACTCAACATTAAACAGAACAACAAGCAGGTGAGATGGGGAGGGAGCCATGCCTGCAGGGAAAGAGGGTCTAGAGCCGGGCTGTGGGTCCAAGATTTGGGTTCCGTCTGTCAGGAGAGGAATCTGTCGGCTGTAGGACCCCAGCCGTGGCTTTTGGAAGTTCTGCCACTTTCTCCCCTTTTGGGCTTTAAATTGTTCGTTTTCCTTGGTTTAGTTTTGGTTTTTTTTTAAAGCATATTTCCACTAGATGGTTTTTCCAAAACCAACCTTTGGTGTGCAGTTGCTGGGTAACGCGAGGGCAGGCCCTGTTGCTAGGTTTCCCCCAATGGGAGGGCAAAGGCGTTGCTAGGCAAACCCTGGTGTGCCAGTCGCGGGGACCCCCTCGGCTGGGCGGGGCCGCTGACCCGGAGCCCCCCGTTTCCAGGCCTTCGATGGCTTCGCGGCCCTGGGCGTATCGCGGCTGCTGGAGCCTGCGGACATGGTGCTGCTGTCGGTGCCCGACAAGCTCATCGTCATGACGTACCTGTGCCAGATCCGCGCCTTCTGCACGGGGCAGGAGCTGCAGCTGGTGCAGCTGGAGGGCGGCGGCGGCGCTGGCACCTACCGCGTGGCTAGCGCCCAGCCGAGCCCACCCGACGCCCTGGACGCCGGCGGCCTGGCGCAGCGGCTGCGCGAGCACCGGGCCGAAGCGCCCGAGGAGCCCAGGGAGCCCAGGGAGGCCGCGAGCCGCGCGGACGGGGCGGCCCCCAAGGCGGCCTCCAAGGACCACGGGGCCGAGGCCGCCCAGGAGGCGCGCGCCGCGGAGGCCCCCGCCGACGGCGCCGGAGCCCGGGCCTCCGTGCCCCCCGCCGAGGGGCTGGCGAACGGGGCGGGGGCGCCGGGCGCCGGGGGCGGCGTGAGGCTTCGGCGGCCGTCGGTCAACGGGGAGACCGGGCCCGTGCCCCCGCCCCGGGCGCACGGCTCCTTCTCCCACGTGCGCGACGCCGACCTGCTCAAGAAGAGGCGCTCGCGGCTGCGGCACAGCAGCTCCTTCTCCGGGGACGAGCCGGACTCGGGAGCCGCGGGCGCTGCCGGCGCCGGAGCCGCGGCTGCGGTGAGTGCCCTCCCGCGGCGGGCGGGCGGTGCAGAGACCTGGGCACAGGTGGAGGCTTCAGGGTGGCAGGCCAACGCTGGACGTGGGGAGGCGCTTTCTGATTGGAGGGACCGTGGTGTCGCGGAAGAGTCCCCTGGCGAGGTGGTGAGCTCCTCATCAGGGGACGCATGCGAGCCCACAGCCGCTGCTGGGACAAGAGTCCCGATTTTGCTGCCAGCCTTGGAATACATGCTAGTGATTTTTAACACTTGGCACTCAGTTAATGGAATCATGGCTGCAGTGGCAAGTTCCCAGAAGGCTCCATGTTGTCAGCACCCAGCGCAGTGCTGTTTACGGACTGGCAAGTGGGTTGAGGCATTTCTTTCCCTGCGGGTGGCCGGAGGTCAACCAGCAGCCACTGTGGCCCTGGAAAGTGAAGGCAGGGTTTCCATACTCAAGGGGTCTCTCCAGGGCCTCCTAACCCCCAGATTCTCTGACTCGGGTCTTGAACTCCAGATGCTGGAGGCCAGTGTCCTTTCTTCTCTGATAAAGGGAGATTGGAGATGGCAGACCCTGCTGGGTACCTACGTCTCCCCAACCGCTGCAGGTCTCCCGTCAGAGTCTCCCAGATGGCTTGTGGTCACTTCAGACCACATGGTCCCAGAGAGGGCAAGGATTTGCTCAAGGACTCAGAACCACTGAAGTCCAGGCCGTGGGCTTTCCAGCTGGGGTTCCGCTCACTGTCCCATTCTGCGTGCGACAGCAGAGGCAGCTCTGTCAGGCAGCTGTGAGCCTTCAGCTCCCCGGGGATGACCCCTGAGTTCTAAGGAAAGGAGAAAAGGAATAAACTGGGAAAGGCTTTCTGGAAGAAGCAGCCCTTTGAGCTAGGCTGATCAGATGGGCAGGTTTCCCTGGTGAAGAATGGCGGGGGTGCGGTTCTCGAGTGGAGGGACCCACACAAGCACAGATGTGGCAGCTGGAAAGCTCAGCTCTCATTTGGGGAACTGCCAGTCATCTCCGGTAAGGTCCGCAGGTGGCGGGCTGGAGAGCAGGAGCCTTGAGTGCAGGGTCAGAGGCGCAGCGTTAGGCCTGTGAATGAGACACAGGGAGGGCACCAGAGGCACCCACAGGAGATGTGATAGGCAGGAGTCAGAGGGACAGAGCACCCTTGGCTTGTCTGTTGGCCTGTGGCCACAGCCCGATTAATGTGTGTCAGTGGCTCTTTAAATCTTAAAGGGGAGGCTCCATCCTACACCCTTCTTGGCTCAAGTCTGAACTTCTGGTCCTTCCAAGCCAGGCCCCCCTCCAGCCCTTGTCCCACAGGAGATATTTGACCCGTGGGGCTGGAGAGGACTCCTCCTCATTGGCCACTCTCATCTCCCATCCCCCGTGTGTGCAGTGGGAGCATGTCGGGCCTAGCCCCACCCGTGGGAGCTCCCAAAGTCTTAGAGTGGGATGAAGTCAGGCACCTTGAAGCTGGGGTGGGGCAGAAGCAACGCCATGAGGAGAGCAGTGTGCCTCTGGTTTGGCCCAGCAAGGTTTCCTGAGGAGGAACCACAGATGAGGGTGTAAAAAGGGGAATTTGGGTCAGACACGAGGAAGTGTTGGAATTCCCATCAGGGCTGGCATGAGTAAGCTCAGCTGCTGCTGAGGTTGGGGTTTCTCCAATCTCCGGCTCTCCTGCGTCTGCCTGCCCTGTCCGTTGAGCACTCACTGTGTGCCTGGCGTGCCACTATGACCCCTCATCAGCTCCTCACTGATTCCTCACAATGTCCCTTCCAGGGACGAAGGACTACCCCATTTCCCAGGTGGGAATGTTCAGGCTCAGGGAGATGAAGACAGAGGCAAAGGGAGTTGCTACAGACGTGAACCCAGGTTCTGGGTCTCAATTCTCTTTTTTTTTTTTTTTTTTTTGAGGAAGATTAGCCCTGAGCTAACATCTGCTGCCAATCCTCCTCTTTTTGCTGAGGAAGACTGCTAACATCCATGCCCATCTTCCTCTACTTGATATGAGGGACGCCTACCACAGCATGGCTTTCCAAGCGGTACCATGTCCACACCGGGGATTTGAACCGCCGAACCCCGGGCCACCAAAGCAGAACATGCACACTTAACCACTGCGCCACCGGGCCGGCCCCTGAGCCTCAACTCTTAAATGGTGCCCTCTAGTGGGCCCAGCCCTGGGGCAAGCCACTTAACCTCTTCGTGCTCTTTCCCTGAGGATGAGAAGCAAATACGTGAACATTTATTGCAAAGTGGCCTTGAGGTGTGACTTTGGGGTGCTATCTAAAAAGATGCCTTTCTGGCGCCCTCAACCCCCAGGTTACACAGGGCTGGGATTTCTCCCCATTTTACATACAAGGACACAGAGGCCTAGTGGGCGTGACTGGCCCAGAGGCAAACAGCATATTGGTAGTCAAGCTTGGGAGCAAACCTTTGGATTAGACAGCCCTGGGCCCTAGGCCAGACCCTATATGAGCCGCATCTCTGACCCTCAGTTTCCTCATCTGTAAAGTGGGGATGGTAATCGTCCCTGCCTCACAGGGTTGTTGGGAGAACTGAGTGCATACAAGCACAGTGCCCCAAACATAGACACTTAATTGATATCAGCTATTATCGTTAATCCGGGTACTCTGAGTGCTTTCTCTGGGCCCCACCCTGGCTGCAGGGGCTGGCTCTGGTCAGGGAGACATGGGTCGCCAACAGCCATGATGAGGGGGGCCAAGGGGAGAGCATCTGCCCAGCCTGGGGGTCAGACGAGGCTTCAGGAGACATGAAGGTCAGGGAGAGAGGCAGAAGGCGGCCTGGGAGCCCCAAGGGGCCTCTGGAGGAGGCGGAGCTGAGCCGGGTCGTGAAGGTCGAGTTGGTGTCCAGCAGCCCAAGACGGAGGCCGGCTCCAGGCTGAGGAAGCTATTTGGGGAAGCGAAAGTCCATCGCTGTGGCTGGAGGGTGGGGTTCAGGGTAACAGGAGTTGAGGCTGGAGCTGCCAAGAGGCCTTGGTAACGAGGCTGGGGGCAGAGGGGGATGTGGGGAGGGTGACACCATTGGGTGAAGGTTTTAGGAAGACCCCTCGGTTGAGGCTTGAGGGTAGAGTCCGCAGGCAGAGCATGGTGAGGAGGCTGCCACTGACCTAGGCCAGAGGATGGCACCTGAGCTGGGCATGTCCAGGGCTGCCTCTCAGAGAGGTGCAGGGTGGGGCGGATAGTGGGGTAGCTTCACCCCTTTTCCCTGCCCGGTGACCTAGAAAAGTAGCCAGAGCCTGTACCATTAAAGGGGGCCAGGCTCTCAGCTGAGCCGGAAGTTGGGGGCCCCCAGGGCTGACAGTCCCAGCAAGTCTCCAGGGCAGGGGATATCAGGGGCCTGCCCTGTCCTTCCAGGCTGAAATTAGTAGGTCCAGCCAACTTGTCCTGTCCTGAGTGTGGCGTGAAGAGCACAACAATCTCCATGTGTGGGAATGGATAAGGTGGGAGAGCGCCCTCTTTTGGCCAGGAGATGGATGACCCTAGGTCTGGAGATAGGGCCAGATTTGTTCTGCTCAGTGTGACCGTGTGGGCCCTGGCCATGATGGAGATGCCAACACTAGGTGATGGGAGTCGGAGGTGGCCTGAGGGAGTCTGTGGAGAAGGGGAGAAGTGGGGGAAGGAGGGGCCCCAGGTGGGCTCTTCAGAGCCTCCCCCCCACCCCCCCCGCCCCGACCACAGAGCCAGGGAGGGTGAAGGCCGTGGCCTTTGCTTGAGGAAGCACTTGTTCTAGAAGGAGTGGGGGGAGGAGGTCTGTGCATGTAGGACTGGAGAAGCAGCTATGGTGGGCAGGGCGTGGAGTTGAGGGCCCCTCCTCCCCTCCATGTGTGAGGCTCTGGCTGGCCCCGGGGTAGGGCTGTTGGGTAGCCTCTCGAGGCCCTCACTGGCCTGTTCCTCCACAGGAAGGCCTGAACCCTGCCCCCAGCCCTGCCCCCAGCCCATCCACAGCCACAGCCCCACAGCAGCTCTCTGGTGAGTAGTTTTGAAGGGGCGGTGAGCCAGCTCAGCTCGGGCTGCTGACGGATCCTGAGCTGGGGACCTCCTGGGGGCAGGTGTCAGTTGAGGATGCCTTAGCCTGGTCTGTCTGCAGGTGGGAGTCCCCCATCGGAGGAGCCACCCCCAAGCCCAGGGGAGGAGGCTGGGCTGGTAAGGTGGGCTGAGGTGGGAGGAGCTCATGGGTGGGCACTTCCTCGGTAGGGCCTGGCCTGAGCCCACGCTTTCCCTTGCCGCCCCCTCTTTCCACCCCAGCAACGGTTCCAGGACACAAGTCAGTATGTGTGTGCGGAGCTGCAGGCCCTGGAACAGGAGCAGAGGCAGATAGATGGGCGGGCCGCCGAGGTGGAGACACAGCTGAGGAGCCTCATGGAGTCAGGTGGGGTGAGCTTCTGGAGTCCACTCCCCGACACATGCTGCCAGATCTGCCCGCCCTGCAGCTCCTCCAGGCCGTGGGCGGAGTGGGGAGGAGGCAGGCTGGGGTCATCGTCCCCATTTACAGCTGGGCACACTGAGGCCCTGAGCCAGGAAGCAGCTTGCTTGGAGGCACACAGCTCTGACTTCTGGGATGCCACAAAGGAGCAAACCCCCTCCCCCACCTCCAGCCGCCCTGCTCCTGACACCAGTCAGTGGCAGGTCTGGTGACTGTTCTGGCTGGTTCAGGTGCCAACAGGCTGCAGGAGGAGGTGCTGATCCAGGAGTGGTTCACACTGGTCAATAAGAAGAATGCTCTCATCCGGAGGCAGGATCAGCTGCAGCTGCTGTGAGTGTTGGCCCCGCCCCTGCCCACCTGGGGCCTGGGGAGCTGAGACAGCCTTGGCTATTTCGGGATATTCTCTGCTTGCTGCTTTCTTTCTTTTTTTGTTTTTGAGGAAGATTAGCCCTGAGCTAACATCTGCTGCCAATCCTTCTCTTTTTGCTGAGGAAGGCTGGCCCTGAGCTAACATCCATGCCCATCTTCCTCTACTTTATATGTGGGACGCCTGCCACAGCATGGCTTGCCAAGCGGTGCCATGTCCGCACCCGGGATCTGAACCGGTGAACCCTGTGCCTCCGAACCAGCAGGCGAACTTAACCGCTGCACAGGCCCGCCCCTGCTTGCTTATTTCTACAAAGATCTTTTTGAAAAATTTCTCAGCCATCTTATTAATTTGTTTCCTATCTCATTTCTTGTATAAATTGATATATATATACACCAATAAATTGGTATATATTGGAAGAATATATTTCCTCTATAAATTGGAATAATATATATTCCTCTTTAAATTGGTACTAATTGTACGAATCAGAAAACCGAGGCCCAAAGAAAAATGTGGCGCAGGCAGGTCAGGGCTGAGTGGCCCAGTGTGACCGTTTTCCTTTACAGTGAGGGGGACTGAGGCCGAGGAGAGCGCAGCTGGTTTCCCCAGTGGGGTCAGAAGTGACTGTCGGCCCTCACTGCCTTTAGAGTGTGCATGGTGGAGGCAGGTTTGCCTCCCTTTTGCATTTTGGATCATTTTTCACAATAACTTTAGTCTTTAAGAATAATTTTTAGTCTTTAAATTTTAATTTAATAGTTGCTGTTTATGAGTAATGTTCATCCAAATAATCCTGCCCGGTTGTTTCTTATCTAAAAAAATAATGAAGAAGGTTAGTGGGTGTGGGAAGAGACTGTAAACGTCCAGCGATTGGAGAGCAGTGGGAATGGAGATGATTGGGACTGCGGACTGGGATAGTTCTGCCGGCAGCCCGGGCCTCCACGGGAACTGGTGGTGAGGCGGCATGGGGACCAGGGAGTGGTCCCAGCCCTGGGCAGCCCCTCTGGCTCCCCTTTCCCTGACCTGGCCCCCCACCCCTCCCGCAGCATCGAGGAGCAGGACTTGGAGCGGAGGTTCGAGCTGCTGAGCCGGGAGCTACGGGCCATGCTGGCCATCGAAGGTGGGAGATGGGGCCGGAGGGGCTGGGGGCCAGGACAAGGCATGGGCCTGCGTCCTCTGACTCGCAGTCTCCTCCGCCCTCAGACTGGCGGAAAACGGCCGCGCAGCAGCACAGGGAGCAGCTCCTGCTGGAGGAGCTGGTGTCGCTGGTGAACCAGCGCGACGAGCTGGTCCGGAACCTGGACCGCAAGGAGCGGATGTGAGCGGGGCCGGGATGCGCTGGGAGTTGGGGAGGGTCCAGGGCGCTCGAGCGGAGCGCTCGGCCCGGCGCGGGGGCGGACTAGGGGTGGCGCTCACCCGGGACGCGGGGGCTGACTTGAACCGGTTCCCCCCAGCGCCCTGGAGGAGGACGAGCGTCTGGAACGCGGCCTGGAGCAGCGGCGCCGCAAGCTGAGCCGCCAGCTGAGCCGGCGCGAACGCTGCGCGCTGAGCTGAGGCCGCGGGGCCCGGGAGTCCTCGCCCTCCCGGCCCTTCGGACCGCAGCTTTTCTCGTCGTCCCGGGCCTGCGCTCCGGAGGACCGGACCCTCCCAGACGCCGCGCACGGCCTGGAGGGGCCCCGTCGCGGGGAGGGGGTAGGAAAGCCCCTCGGCCCCGTGGGACAGGAGCGGCTGGGCGGCCGCGCCGTCCGGGCCGTATTTATTGTCCGTGTGAGTGTGAGTGTGAGTGGGTGTGGGTGTGTTGGCGGGGCTGGGGCCCGGGAGCGCCGCGCAGAACCCTCCCCGACGGCAAGGTCCAAGCCGACCGGCCCCGGGGAGAGGGATGACCGCGAGCTGCCGCGCCTCCGCCCTCCCCTTCCTGTTGCTGGAGAGCAATAAAGTTCGGGAAGGCTACACAGCGCCGGTCTTTCTCGGGACGCCGGGGTCTTTCAATAGACGGAAGGGGCGGGGCTTGGGCCGACGAGGTCGTCTGCGATCCTAAATGCGGCTGTGCCGCCTCTCAGGTTCCCAGATGCCAGCGGCGGACGGATCTCTGCCTTCGAGGGATGACGGGGTTTGGGTTGTTGGTCGCTGGAATGAAGTCCCGTTTCGAAAGAAGAGACTAAACACAGTGGGGGTTGTTGCCCATTTTATTTTTTATTAACACGTTCCCTGAGGTCCTCACATCCCCCTCCCCTCTGCGGAAGCTTCCCCAACCACTCACACTGCTTCCTCCTCAGGCTTCTCCACCTGAAAGGAGCTCATCTCCATCACCTGCCACCTGTCAGCAAGCTGGGGCCTGTTCTGAGGGTGCAGCTGGGGCCGCAGCTGAGGGTGGCAGGGTGCTCAGAGCCAGTTCATCCTGACCCAGGATGCCACCTTGGTCCTCAGTGGTCAAAGGGCCACTGGACCCGAAGAACTTCACCATGGCGCACACCTGTGGCAGCTCTGAGAAGGTCTCCACGGCCAGCAGCATGGCCAGGAGCCCCAGGAGCAAGTAACCTGGGGAGGAGAGGTTGCTGGGGCAGTCTCAGGGTGCTCATGATGCTCCCCACCCATCTCCCAGCCTGTGACCCACCCTGGCACCTGGTGCCACTCACAGTTCTCTTAACACTGCCACCTGGGTTCTTCCAACTACAACTCCCCACACCACACCCTAGCCAGGGTCCCTCTACCAATGAGGCTCAGCCTCCCCAATGGTTTATGGGAGTTGTAGTCCAGGCTCCTCCTCCCTCCTCTTCTCCCCCTTGCGCTCCTTGGCAGCTGGACTCACCGAGAAGAGCAAGCTGGCCAAGGTGGTAAAGCACTGGATGCAGGCTGCGGCCATGGGCAGGTAGCAGGTCCCCCAGGCCAATGGTGCTGAGTGAGCTGAAGCAGAAGTAGATGGCCTCCAGCAGGCTGCAGTCGCCCTGCACGCCCCACAGCACCAGTGCTGGCAGGAGCACGAAGGTACCAGCCACTAGCAGGCCCAGTCCAGCTGCCTGCAGCAGCGCAGCCGTGGTCGGTGCCAGCTGCCAGCGGTTGGCAGCCCAGGCACCTGGGCGGCTGAGCAGAGGTAGCAGGCAGTGGCGCAGTGCAGCCATAAGAGCTAGGGAGGCAGGTAGCCCCAGGGCTGCATAGATCACACAGAAGGCCTTTCCACCTGCCGATAGTGGGGCCATGTGGCCATAACCTGGCAAGGAGAGACACATGGGCAATGAACACTTCAGTGGGATGCCTGCTGGGGTCCCCACTACCCCCAGCATTGCCTCTGGCAGAAGGCTGCCCTCTGGTGGCCAAGATTGCTGGACCTGTTCAGGCCCACGCTCTGTCTGGTCCTGCCTTTCATTCACTGGGGGTCTTGGGCAAGTCCCTTAACCTCTCTGGGCCACTCTTTTCTTTTCTGGAAAATGAAAGGATTAAAAGAGACAGTCCCCTCAGGCCTCTTGTAGCTGGAACAATTCTGAGAACTGCTGTCCTGCCCCAGAGGGAGCCTGGCTTTCTGAGAGATTCCTCAGCTCTGTCCTTGACCGATACTTCCAAATTCACTGGGCAGAATGCCACCAACTCTTTCATTCCCCAAAGGTGTATCAAGTCAACCTGTGTGCTAGGGCTTGCACTGGAATCTGAGTCTGTCCAGTGCCTGCCATCTGGTGGGGGAAGCAGGCAGGAAAATTAGGACGCTTGACTTGAAGAACTACATGACTGCATGAGAGAGGGCTTCCAAGGCCAGAAAAGCATGTGCGAAGGCAGGGGAGGTGAGAGAGTGGGGTGTGCTGGGAGAACAGGATCAGCTAGTCCAGAGGCTGTAAACTCAGACGTCTAGAGCAGCCAGATGTGAGACAAGAGGGAGTGGTGGGGACTGGGGTGGACTGGAGAACATGTGCTCTGCCCAAAAGGGCAGGCCCTGTTCCACTCCAGCCAGTATGTTGCCTTGCAGGGATTCTGTCTCAGTGCAAATAGGTTTCTCGATTTTTCCAAAAGAAGTTGGAAAACAGACATTAATTAAAAAAATATTTAGACATAATAAAAAATATTTAGGGGGCCGGACCCATGGACAAGTGGTTAAGTTCGCATGCTCCACTTCGGTGCCCCAGGGTTTTGCTGGTTCGGATCCTGGGTGCGGACTTGGCACCGCTCGTCAGGCCATGCTGAGGTGGCGTCCCTCATAGCACAACCAGAGGCGCTCACAGCTAGAATATACAACTATGTACTGGGGGGTTTTGGGGAGAAGAAGAAGAAGAAAAGAAGACTGGCAACAGATGTTAGCTCAGGTGCCAATCTTAAAAAAAAGATATTTAGATACAAAACAAAAGATATTTAGACACTGCGAGACTAAAAACACCAGAGCTGTGGGTCCCATTGCTTTATTTCTCTGGGCCTTTGCACATGCTGTTCTCTTTGCCAGGCATTCCTTCATCCCTCATCTCTGTGCCCTCTTGCCTTGGCTAAAGCCTCATCAGGACTGCCTCCCCCAGGAGCTTTCCCTCACACTCCCTCCCTGAGTCGGTGGTCCTAATCTGTACCCCCCGGGTTCCCTCCAGTTCCCTGCATCCAAGAACCCCTCCCACAATACGTGTTCCCTGCCTTGCTTCAGGCCCGTGGAGTCTGGGCACCCTTCCTGGATCTCACAGAGTGCCTGGCACTGGGGCTGGGTAGAGGCCACACCCCTCCTGGCAGCTGAAGTTGAGGTACCAGTTGGGGTGTGCTGGTGTGGGGAGCCTGAGCTGTGAGGTCAGGTCTAAGAGGGCCTGGGTTCTGTCTGGCATTTTGGGGCTGGGCGAAGGGCTGCACCCCCAGGGACCCCAGGGGCCCCCTCCTACCCGGCTGCCTGGCGGCCTTACCCGTGGTGGTGAGGATGCTGGCAGCGAAGAGCAGGGCTGAGGGCAGATCCCAGTTCCGGGCCTCTGAGCCATTGCCCAGGCTGGAGACCCCATGGGCCTGGGCTGCCAGGACGGTGCTCAGCAGCTCCTCCAGTGCCCCAGGTGGCAGGCAGGCCCCGTACTCCTCCTGGAAAGTGGCCCGCTCGGCCCTGAGCTTGGCCTGGACCCGGAGTGCTGGAGGCCCCTCCAGGGCCTGGAGCACCGCTGCCCCAAGCCCCAGGACCAGCAACTGGGCCACAACCAGTAGTCCATACCTGGCCCAGGGCCTTAGACCCCCCATGGTGTGCCGCCCGGAGTCCGAGGTGCTGTGGGAGCTGGCTGCTCCGCTGCAGGCACCTGGGAGGGGCTGGGCAGGGTGGGGCTGGGAGAAGTGCTGTGTGGGCGGCTGAAGAGGGAGGGAATCCAGGGCGCAAGCTAGGCCGAGCGTGCATGGAGGGAGAGGACGCAGCTCGGACTTGGAAGTGAGCTGGATCACTCCGCCCAGCTTCGGGGGCAAGATGTTATTTGCCCAATTCCCCTCAGCTGGGGTGGTGGGGGCGGGGTGGAGGAAGGCGAGGCCCAGAGAGCTAAGTGGCTCAGAATCACACTGCAGTTGCTAAGTCAAGGACGCGCTCATTCAGTCATACGTACTCCATTCATCCACTCGGCAGGTGCTTAGATCTGAGGACACCAGGGAAGAGGACAGACACAGGTCCCTTCCCTCCTGGTGTTCACACAAGAAACCTGTCAGCAGGGGAACGTGACAAGTTCACATTGTTATAAGCTCCCTGCAGGAGAGAGTTCTGGGGGCGGGGGAATGTCACAGGGAAGGCTCCCAGTCTAAAGAGCGACATTTCAGCAGAACAAGAGCTTGGGATGTGAGAGGAACAGGGGGCTGGCTGTGGGGGAGGGGGAGGGAGTAAGGACACAAAGCTTGAGGACAAGTGTGGTCCAGGGGACCCATGGGGGGGGGGGGGGGGGGGGGAGAGGCTACTGCAGGCATTCTGGATGGATGGGTGGCAACCTGAGCAGCAGAATGGGCGAGAAATGGTGGGATTGGGGATGGGCAGGTGGGGACAGGGGGCAGGACACCCAGCACAGCCCCAACAGATGATGCTCCATTCCAAGTCCTTCCCCAGAACCCTTGGTGCCCGAGCCCCCACCTCGCTGAACCTGCTGGAGCAGTGACTGTGGCTGCCATGGCGCGCGCAGGGGAGGGGGAGCCAGGATTCTACTCCCATAAACCATGGCAGTAAGAGAAGCATGAGTGGAGCCAGGTGCCAGGGGGGTCACCCCTCCTGCATCCAGACCATGGGATAGACAAACGGAGGACAAACCCAAAGATGCTGTGGGCTCCTGAGTTTAGCCAGCTGCCTGGGGTAGGAGCGGCACAGCCAGGGAAGGCATCCCAGGGGAAGAGAGGTTGCAGCTGGACCCCCAGGACAAGCGGGGGCCACCCAGCAGCAGGAACAATCGAGGTGAATGCAGTCACTTGAAACGGTGGGAAAGGCCTGCAAGGTGGGGAGAAGGTGGGTGAGGCCAGCGCGTGTGTGGGTGCCTGAGGCCAGTGGACTCGATCCCAGGAGAGGGGGGTGGCGCGAGGCATCCCCGCCCAGACCCAGCCAACTGCCCAGTGTGCTGGGGGCAAGAGGTCACCAGGGTCATGTGATAGATTGGCTCCCCGGTTACCTCTAAGAAAGGTGACAGGCTGTGCTTGGGGAGACAGCTTGGGGAGTTTATTTGGCTTCATTGGATCCCGAGGCCGAGGCCCCAACCCTGGCCGGGGCAGCAGGAAGGCACCCAGAGACCCCTGGCCCCAGATGACCCCCAGGGCAGGGGGGGGTCCAGGCACTGAACCTTGGGGCAGGGGCCACAGTAGCAGGACTTGGTCAAAAGTGCTGGTGACAGCTGAGGCCGGCCCCTCTCCCCTGCACCTCCCCTCCTCCCTGCACCACCCCTGGGGGCAATTCCCTGAGACAGGCTCTGGTCCTCCCAACCAGCTGGGTACAGTGTCGGGCCCCAGTGGGGCAGGTAAGTCGGGGGACCCACAGGTTGCAGGTGTGTGGGGGGTGCAGGCCCCCATCCAGTGTGAAGGGTTCCTGTGCAGTGTAGTGTTCCTGATCCCCAAAGAGGGCGGTCCCTGGGGGAAACCAAGGCAACTACAGAGATGTGCCCGGCTCCTGTTCCAGTGTATGCTGTGGCTCCTTCAGGGCAGCAGGAGCGTGGGGGAGCAGCCTGGCCCACTCAGGGCCCTGCCTCCGGTGCCCATGGGGCCTGGGCACCCATGTCTTTGGTCTGTGCCCTGCAGTCCTGAGGGCCCCCCCGGAAGGGGTTGGCAGGTGGAGAGTCCCAGAAAGGGTCCGAGTCTGGGAACAAGGTCCAGGGCGCCCGGCGGGGCGTAGGCTGTGGCGAGGGCAGGGGCGAAGGCCGTGGCCCAGCTGACACGAAGCTCCACGGGTCGATGCGGCTGCGAAGGGGTGAGGGCCGAGGTCGGCTGATGAGGCCCAGGGGCGGTGAGCGTGGGGTGCCTGGGGTGCCAGGAGCAGAGCGAGATATCCCTGGTGGGGGCGAGACAGTGCTTCCTATGAAGGATGAGGGAGGGGGCACAGGGTCAGACAGCCACCAACTCCTGGGTGTTCCCAGGACGCACTGCCCTGCGCTGGGCCTCAGTTTCCCCATCCGCACAGTGAGCTACTTGACTTGTAACTTCCTCATTCCCTTCTGCCCCATGGTGCATCTGTTTATTATGTTGTGGTTACCGGTCAAGGCATGCATCCCAGCTCTGCTCACTTTCACTTACTGGTGGGAGCCCTGACTCCTTGGATCTCTCTGTGCCTTAACTTTCCTCATCGAAAAAATGGGTATGACAGGAGTACCGAGTTCACAGGGCTGTTACAGTTAAATGTGAATCTCTCTAAAGCACTAGGACAGTACATGGCACAAAGAAGCAACCAGTAGGAGTGTGCTGTCATCATAGTTGTCACCATTGTTATTACACTTCTATTATTTCACAACTGGCCTGGCCGGCCTCACCCCCTGGCCACTGGGGGTCTTAACTTAGAACTCAGTTCCCTAAATCCGTGCGCAGCGCCCTGAGGGTCCGGTTTGAGGTCCAGCAGACAGCTGCGTCCCGCCTTACTGCCCCGCATGACCCCATCAGCCCCTCCCTGCCATGCCACCGCGCAGGCCTGCCTCGGCCACTCACCGCGCCTCTCCTCGCGCCGGGGGCTCTTGGCGGATGGCTGGCCCGCGGGGACAGCCAGCTCGAGCAGCAGGGGCGCGGGCGTGGGCGGGCCGGGGGCGTCGGGGCTCAGCGGGGAGGCGGGGGCGTCGGGCGTCTTGGGGGAGAAGCGGATGAGCGGGGACGGGGGCGGCTCGGCTGCGCACGGCGTGGACAGCGGCGTGGGGGGCGTTGGCGGCGGCTCCCCGCGCTCGCGGCCCGGGCCCCCCGGCGGCTGCAGGTCGCGGCCCAGGCCGAGCGAGGCGAGCAGGGCGGTGCCGCGCAGCAGCGCGCGCTGGATCAGCTTGGGCGTCCCCGAGCTGCTGCCGCGCTCCGAGGGGCTGGGCCGCCGTGGCTCCTCGGGTTCCGGGCTCGGCCGCGGGGGGATACCTGCCGGTGGGGGCGCGGGGGACACAGGTTAGGCCATCTCGGGGAGCGGGGGGCAAAGGGGCCTCTCATTGGCCGTGGAATAAGAACTGAGTTCCGCTCCCAACATTCTTTCTTGGCTCTGGTGCTCCCCCAGCCCACCTGCCTTGCCCATCTCGCACACACACGCACGCACAGACACGCTGGCCTTGCAGAAGCAGGTGTGTGGGGAGGGCAGTGCAGGCTGAGGAACCAGCAGGAGGGAAGCCTGGGAAGCAGCCAGGCGCCCTGGAGCTGAGAGATGGCCCATGGACCGAGAAAGAGAGCCCCCCAGGAGGCAAGCTGTCAAACCACAGTGGGCCTCAGTGGCCTCAATGGCCAGCCAGGGGCATCTGCAGGGCCCCAGGGACCCGGCTGGCCCCACTGACTGGTACTGCAGCCCTGGGCCCATGTCTTCCTGGCTGGGCAGCCCTGGCCCTTCTGCACACCTGCTACTCCAGCAGTGGCTTCCACACAGGTCAACTGCAACGTACACAATAGCCCCAGGAGGGACGTATCACTGTGCCTATTCCAGAAATGAGGAAACCGAGGCTCAGAGAGGTCAGTTGTTTGTGCCAGGGGTTCAGAGAGGTTAAGGCTCTTGTCTAAGGCTGCACAGCCAGTGAGGGGTGGAGCTGACTTCACTCCAGGCAGGGGCGGCAGAGCCTCTGCTCTCCACCGGTTGCCCCCAGTCTTTGCTCTGGATTTCAGAACATCCGTGTCCTACTTGTGGGCCTAGGGTTGGCCTGACTCCACTCTAGAGCACCTGGGCTGGGACTGGGGAACCCATCACTGAGGAGGTAGGGGGGTCTGTGATGGCCTCCCACAAACCCCAATCTTGTCAGGCCCTCCTTGGTTCCAGAACCTGCCATGGCTCTCTGTTGCCACTTGAATAAAGTCCAGGCTCCTTGGCCGGGCTTTCGAAGCCTCTTCCCTCCTCCTCGGGCCAGGCATGGAGTGGGCCTGCCTGAAATGGAGCACTGGGCTGGGTGTCCAGGGGAAGAAATGCAAAGCTGGGAAAACTGAGCTTCTACTATGAACCAGGACTTGACTGGGGCGGTTGCTCTCGGCCGCAACCCTGACCCGGTCTGACTCTCATCCACCCCTCCCACGCCCCATCCCCATGGCCACTGCCTTATAAAATGCGAATCTGCTACAGCCAAGTCTCTGCTTAAGAACTTCCCATCAGTTCCAGGCCCTTCCTGAGCTGCTTCTGACCTGCTTTGCCAGCCTCATTCACTCAGTCATTCAACAAACATCTGCTGACCCATGTCCTGCAGCTGCACTGGGTTCCACAGACCCGGGGGATGCAGGCCGGGCACTCCCTGGCTCTCAACAGTCTGAGTTCCAGCCAGGTTTCTTCTTCCTCAGGTCTGGTGAGCCCTACACCTGCGCACACACTATTCCCTCTGCCCAGCACACCTGTCCAACCTCAGCTTACAGAGATCCCTTATTCACCATTCAAGACCCAGCTGAGATGTCACCTCCTCCATGAAGCTGTGATAGTGTGATTCATAATCAGAAATATATAGTTGGTCTTCATCTCATTCCTGGCACAGAGCTCCTAAAATCCTTGGGATTTCCTAAGTGACAGCAATCAAGGTGAGAGGAGTGTCTTTTGTTATTCACAAGGAACCCCTTTTAGCCATACCTGAGTTCAAATGAATGAGGGAGCTTCTGGACAGCCCCTAAGGATGGGGTCTGGTTGCCAGGGGAACCAATCAGGTGATTAGAGGGTTGGAACTTCCAGCCCCCACCCTCTTCTGGGAGGCGAGAGGGACTGGAGATTGAGTTCTGTCCCCCAGTGGCCAGTGTTTGGATCAATCGATCAGGTCTATGAAATAGGGTTTCCAAAGAAACCCTAATCGAAAGGGTGCAGAGAGCTGGGTTGGTGAGCACATCAAGGTGCTGGGAGTGGCGTGCCTGGGGAGGGCAGGGCAGTGCTGTGCCCCTTCCCACAGACTGTGCCCTATGCATCTCTTCCATCTGATTGTTCTGGATCTGTGTACTTTATTATAATCAGGTAATTTCGTAAGTAAACTGTTTTCCTGAGTTCTGGGGGCTGTTTAGCAAATTATTAAACCTGAGGAGGGGGTCGTGGGAGGTTGGTCAAAAGCACAGACGACACCCCGGACTTGTGACTGGCATCTGCAGTGGGGAGGAGCGGTGTTGTGGGACTCAGCCCTTGAGCTCTGGGCTCTGCCGCTAACTCCAGGTAGACAGTGTCAGAGTGAACTGAATTGTAGGACGCCCAGAGAACTGGTCAATGTGGGGAAAAATCTCGAATATTTGGTGTCAGAAGTGGAGTAGTGTGTAGAGGAAAACCAGAGTTTTTTCCTCTTCTTGAAGCCTTCCCAGGCCACTGTGGGTGTCTAACGCATTGATGCCTGGCTCACGAAATGCATCAGTACCTGTTTGATGGAAGAATCCATTCTTATAATCCTGGCAACAACCACATAAGATTATCATTATTATGTCATTTTACAGGTGAAGAAACTGATAATTTATAGTGAGTTTAAACAGAACAAGGGAAAGACATATTTAAAATAAGCAAGGGAAATGGGACAAAAAGAAGTGAAGCTGGAGGCCAGTACACAAAAGGAGTGGAACGAGGTTCCTGCAGACAATGGTCTGAGAAACTGAGGTTCCAAGAGTTAAGTGACTTGCCCAAGGTCACTGGGCAAGGATTTGAATTCACCTCTAAGCTTCCTGGCAGTAAGAGTTGGCAACCCTGTTATTTAGGAGAAAACGGCACAAGCATGCTTAACCCAGAGATGAAGGTGAAATCGCTTCTGTGGGGCCTCAGGGAGAGGACATGGCCCCCCGTGGAGTTAGTGGCTCCAGGGCAAGAATCCTCCCAGTGTAGACTGACTATACCATCAACATACAATCCACTGTGACCAGCTCCCTGGGGGCCAGAATCTCCGGGTGGGACGGGGGCGGGGGAACGACGACAGATGGGGCTTCCCAGTGGTGTGGCTTATGCCTGGGACAATCTCACAGGGCCCTCTTTGATTCTCAGCCAGGCTTCTGACTCTGTAGGTGGCTGGGAGGTCAAGGTCACGTACTCTCGTGGGCCCAAGATAGTGACTGGAGTGTGGGCTTGAGCTAGGGGACCCAAGTGCTCAGGTAGCAGCTGGGCTGCAGCAGGTGACGTCCCTGCTTGAGAAGGATGGGGTCCAGACGCTTGTGTCCCTGTGCCTGTTCAGAGAGGCAAGGCCAAGGGGATCTGCAGACCATGGTCAGCGCTGCTTCAACCTACATGCCTGGGTCGACAAGACTGACTCACATCCTCCATTGGCCCTTCTGGCCTGGTACTTTCTAGAGCAGGTGAATCCAGGCAGCCCCCTTGGCCTTCTGATTCTCAGTTCAGTGCCTGAAGCACAGCCAGCTTGGGGCAACGCAACTGCTGGGGCAGCAAATGGTGCAGCAGATGGGGGTCCAGGGCCCTGCCTCCGGAGTCAGACCTGGGTTCCAATCCCTGTTCTGCTGTGTGCCCTACATCAAACCACTTAACCTTTCTGTGCCTCAGTTTCTTCCTCTATAAAATGGAGCTAATAATAGTACCCACTCACAGTATTGCTTGGCATGTAAAAAGAACCTAATAAACGTTAGCAATTGTTACCACTATTGAAAGCAGGTTAGGTAATGGCGGAGGTGATGGGCTGGGTGGGGTGAGAGGAGCGAGGCTCAGTTGTTCGCCAAATAGGACTCTGCTCTGATGGCAGCTAGGCCGGGCCCTATATTTTGGCTGGGAGAAGCAGGTGTAGCTGGGGACTCTGAAAGAGCCATAAGCGAGGGAGGCTGCACTTTTCTAGCCCTCACCAATGCTGGGCAGAGCTGAGCTGAGTCCTCATCCCTCTGACACGGGAGCCCCACTCGCTGCCCCACCCCCTAGCTTCCAGGCAGTTTATAGGAGAGAAACCCCTTGTTCAAGAGAGCTTCCTTTCCGAGCAAGCTCGCTATGAGCATGGGAGCCAAACTATCTCTGGTTCAAATGCTCAGCTGGGGCCTTTAGTAGGTAAGCTCACCTCTCGGAGCCTCAGCAGCATCATCGTCTCTAAGTGGAGATGATAACAGCACCTCCCTCACAGGACTGTATCATCATGGGGCACAGGAAGGCCCAGAACTGCTCCAGAGGCAGGGAGAATGGGCCTGGGATCCCCACCTGCTCAGCTTTCTTACCCTCTTCTCCTCCTTGGGGCTCCCCAGAAGGGACTCTGAGAAGCACAGTGTGGCACAGCTGCCTGGCTGGCTCCACTCCACAGGGGCAGTTTCCTTCCCCTCTCTGGGCCCAGCTTCCCTTGGGTCGCAAATGGGGGGTCTTCCCCTCTACTATCCCTGTCTTCCTACAGTTGCCTGTCTTCCTTCCCTCCCTAGAGCCTGCTGAGGGCACAGTGGCTGCCACAGGGCCAGGCCTGAACAGGGGGACCAGACTCTGGGCCCTCTGAGGTCTGGGCTGTATCCAGCTCAGTCATGGGCCAGACCTGGGTTCTAGGAATGATCTGCCCTGCCTGCTGGCTTCTTGAGGCCTCCCCATAGTACCCACAGAAGGAGTGCAGCAAGAGCCTGCTTGGGCGAGACACACCACTCACCGTTGAGTGCTGGGGGTGTGGAAGGAGATCCTAAGGGGGAGGAGTCATCTGAATCCAGGTACCACGTGGCTTCGTCCATGCGGGACCTTCTCCTGGGGAGAGGAGGAGAGTTGTGCTCTGTGAGTCTCAGGACTGTTGGGAAGCAGGTGATGCTGGGGTGGGGGGCACTCAGGCACTCACCTCCCATTCTGGGCTTCCCCAGGCTTGGGGGAACTGGGACCCCAGGCCCAGCACGCTCGCCGCTCTCCATTGCTTGAGTCCTCTAGACGTCGGGGGGACTGGCGGCCCCACGCCTGGCCTGATTCTGCAGGCTCCACTGTGGGGGGAAAACCAGTAGAATCTGAGCTGAGTTCAGGAGCCCTGATCCTCATCTTCCCATCATGAAAGTCAAGCTCCAGGGGCAGGGGAGCAGGCTGGGCCCCGTATCATTCCCAGAGTGGGCTCTGGGCCACAGAGAACTGAACAGAACTGGGACAGGGTAGGTAGGTTTGGGTCCCGGGGCTGGCAGTGGGGTAGGACATCTCATTTAGTCCTTCAGCTGGCATTTGCTGCTGGGTAGTTAGTAGAGACCTTGGGGCAAACCGCCTGGGTTCCAATTCTGGCTCTGCCCCTTATTAGCTATGTGACGTTAGGCAAGTTACTTTTTTCACTTTATTCATCTATAAAACAGAGATAATAATACTAATGATAGCTACCTCACAGGATAAGTGTGAGGAATTAAGCTAACATTAGCAAAGCATTAAGGAAAATGAGTGGTGCATAGTGTCATACAATTGTTGGCTAAAAAAATTAGTAAAATAAATGCTGCTTGGGGAACTGAAAAGTACAATCTAGACGGATAGGAGAGGGACCCTGGGTGCGGGGAGGAAGACGAGGAGATAGTGGGTGGGATCCACCTCCGAGGACAAGGTTTGACAGAAAGATACCGGGTGTGGGGAAAGGCAGGGGAGGCGAGGTTTCTTACACTGGATGGCCCGGAAGCGGGGGAAGGTGGGTGAGTCCCCAGCCCCGACCTCGAAGACGTTTCTCCTCCTGTCCAGGCCAGGCGAGGCTTGCACGGTGATGCGGTGTTTGAAGTCTGGGGTTGAGAGGGGGAAGCACGGTGCAGGTTTGTGGGGAAGAAGAGCCAGGATCCCAACCAGGATCCCAACTCGCCGGCGCCCTGGGCCGGCTCCCCGGCCACGCAGGCAGTGTAAGGATCGGGCCTGGACGGTGGCTGTGTGACTGGGGCCAGTCTCACTGCCTTCCCGCGCCCCAGGCTCTCAGTAAGGAAAGCCACCGCCTGGACTCCACCACCCAGAGGAGAGCGGCGGAGCAGGAGATTCCCGGGAGCCGGCCCGCCCCGCCCCTCGGCCTCCCCAGAACTTTCAAGAGCCCCGCCCCTTCCCGGCCGCAGCCACTCCCAGACCGACCTGCAAAGATTTCCGCCAGGACCCGCCCACAGACAGAAAACCCACGCTTGGTCCCGCCCCTCCCGGCCTTCAGCTCACTGGCCCACCCACCAACACCCTAAGCCAATCCCAGTGCGGCCGGCACACAGGCCTGACCCCGCCCCCTGCCACGCAGCCAATGGCGGGCGCCGTGCTGGGACCCGTCCCTTACCGAGGGGCATGCTGATACGCTCGCCGCCGTCGCGCGCGCGGAGCTTGCTGCGCTTGAAGGTGCCGCGGCGGCGGCGCACGTGCGGCCGCTCGCGGTCCACCTGCTGCAGCAGCAGCGTCAGCTCGCGCTCGAACACCTCGAGCTCCCACTGGGCCAGCAGGTGCTCGCGCCGCCGCAGCTGCTCCGCCTGTGACCGCTGCTCACGCGCCGCGCGGGTCAGCTCCTCCTCGCGGCTCAGTAGTTCCTGGGCCCGGGACAGTGAAGGCGGTGGGGTCAGCCGAGTACGCACCCTGGCGCCCACCCCCACTCTCTGCTCCACGGAGATCGGGGAGACACTCCTTCCCGGCGTTCCCTTCCAACCCTGAGACCCCGACTCCTCCCACCTTTTCCTTGGCCCGCAGCTCATCGAAGAGGCCTTGGATCTCACGCTTCCAGCCTTCCTGCATGGAATGGAAGGAGTCCCGCGGCATTTCCCGCAGGACCTGCGCCTCTAGTGCCTCCAACTGCTGTAGGATGGAAGCGAAGTCGGGCCTGCGGTGGGGGTCCTGCGCCCAGCAGTCTGGGGACACGGAGTGGAGGAGGGACAGAATAAGAAAGAGTCCGTGGGTGGATGTGTCCTGGGCCAAGGAACTCTTCCACTCATCCTCACCCCCACCCCCTGCCCCGTCCCCTTACCGGCCATAAGCTGTGCGAAGGGCTCGGGGCAGGTGGATGGGATAGGCAATGTGAGTTTGTTAACTGCCACTCCGTAGGCCACAGCAAGGCAGTCGATGCCACGGTAGGGCACCTCCCCAGTCAGCAATTCCCACAGCAGCACTCCAAAGCTGTGGGCGAGACAAAGGGTCTGTGTCCCCTCCTCTACTCACTCATTGCCATTTCACCCCAAAGCAACCAGGGTCCCTCCCTCTGGGCTCTGCCTGTCTGCCCAGCCCTAGATTTTGGCAGCCACATCTGCCCTCTGCAGCCCCGTAGCTGGCCCAGTCCAGCCTCTACCCAGGCCGCACCTCCAGACATCGCTGCCCTTAGAGAAGGTGGAGGCCTTGATAACCTCGGGAGCCATCCAGGCATAGGTGCCCGCAGCACTCATTTGCGTGGTTTTGTGCCACTCGCGGGCCAGGCCAAAGTCCGTGATCTTCAGGGTCTTGTGCTCCATGTCGTCTCCCTCAATGGGCTGTAGCAGCAGAACTGGGGAAGAGGAGGGCAGGACTGTGGGTGCTCCAGGCTCAGCTGGTGGGGACAAGGGAAGAGCTGGGAGCAAACTGTCATCCAACAGACATCCTGGCTGGGCACTGGGGGCACTGAGGTGATCTTGCCCTGCAGAGCTCACAGCTGGGGTTGGGGTAGAATCAGACAAAAATAAAAATGCCAGGAATCATTTACGGAGGGACAACTAGAGGCCAGACCTTTTACACTCAGCTCTAGCATCCACACACACGCACACAAATTTGTGAGGTAGACACCATTATCCCCATTTTACAGATGACGAAATAGCAGGGAAATGACTTGGCCAAGGTCATACACAAATAAAGCAGAGATTCCAACCTGGTTTGTGTGGTTCCAAGGCCAGTCCTGTAACTTTTTCCTAATACTGGAGTGAATAGAAACTGGCAATATGGCAGCCTCTCAGCTTTTGTGGCTCCGATTTCAAGAGAAACCCATGTCTTGTCATTATGCTGAGGCAGGAGTGTGAATCAGAACCTCCCTCAGTGGGGAGCAGGCGGGAAACCGTTGGCAAGAAGGAGGCCCAGCAGGCACCGCAGACCCCTGGCACCCATATCGCATGGTGGCCAGTGCAGCCACTCCCAGGGGAGAGAAAGACTCTAAGACTTATCTGCTGATGCCTTTGGATAGAGGAGAAAGGGAGGGTCTAAGAAAGTAGTGGGTCTTGGCCAGAAAGGAGGAGCTTGGGGCTAATGTAGGAGTGGATGGTCAGACTTGGCAGGGGCTCATGGCTTTGGCCCAAATGGGGCCACCAAACTCTGTACAGAGAGGAGAAGCAACAGCTTGCAGATCTCTCAAGACAAACATGGCTCAAATGAGAGAAGTGTTAGAGGAATAGAAAGAGGACAAAATCAGAAAGTCATCAAGAGTCTGAAGGGGCCTCTCTGCTTTTCTGGGTAGAGCTGAGGGCATCACAGAGAAATGACATCCAAGCCAAGGACATTTCTGAACACGGGTTGTTTCTGGGCACACTTCTCAGCAGTCCTGCTCGGGGTCACTGCACCAGAATAAGGGCAGCACAGGGTACTGGGGGTGGGGCAGAGGGGATGGGCGCCTAACCCAGCCTGGTGAGTCAGGGAAGACTTCTCAGAGGAGGTGGCAGAACCAGCATATTCACTTTTCTAGGCCGAAAGCCACAACCCCTGCTCCTGCTGCTGGCCAAGTTCTCTGGGCCTCATGGGGGCATCTGGCACTGCCGCCCAGCCCCTCCCCACTGTCCTTGGCTCCTGGGGCCTCTGGCTGCTTGTGCTGTTTCCTCCAGGGCCTCCCCACCCTCAGCCTTTTCAATGCTCTCAGAGCCTGGCCTCTCCTGAACCTCTGCCACCGCCCCCGGGCTGTCTCGGCTGCCCCCTCCCCATTGGCACCTCCCACGTTTGGAGTTCTAGGCTAGAAGTCGATTCAGCTGCCCAACAGCTGCCCTGTGCCCTCAACAACCACCTTCATCGTCCCACGGTGCCTGGCAAATCTTCCTGCAATTTCTCCTAATTCAGAGAATGGTCCTGCATCTACCCTCTCCTCTGAGCCAGACCGGGGCTGAGTCCTGAACAGTAAATAAAGTCAAGGATGATGACAAAACCCACCTCTGAGGGTCATCCTGAGTACTACACAAGATGACACTGTCTAAGGCCTTGGCTCGGGGTCTGACATCTGGTGGGAGCAACTACTAAATGCCAGCGGTCCTAAACATTCTGCCCACTGACATCTCTCGTGTCAACTCCATCCTTTCCATCCTCTATCACAACTTACTTCCCCCTTCACAACAGCCTCCACCCTGTTTAGGAAGCCCTATACAAGGTCGTTCCAAAGAATCACAGTAGGCTGGGGGCAGGTGGCTGGAGTGGGACCAGGCAGAGGGGTCTGTGTGCTTGAGTCAGGGACGGACTCCCGTCTCCTTTGGTGCCAGGACCCACCCATCCTCTTGAAGACCAATCCCTGCTGCTTCCTGGCTGGGTCTCTAGCCACTTGTGGTACCTCGCAGGCTGGAGAAGCCCTTTCTGCACCAGTATCTCAGGCTGGGAGGCCAGCCTCCCCCTTTCAGTCAGGTAATCTGAGGCCCAGGGAGGGGCAGCAACTCACCCCAAGTCTCAGGACTTCTTTGTACTGGTGGCCTTTCTGCCACCTCCTGCCCCCAGCTCCATCTGACACCTGCATCTTCATCCTCACATCCATGTCCCCACTCGTTTTTCCAAGTGCCTCGAATCTGTCCCAACCCGAGTTGCTCTTCTGGGGTCTGTTGTACCCTTTGGGGTTGGGGTGGTCAGGGGCCACCTGGAGGAGAGGGGGCTAGAGATCCCCAGGCTCCAAGCCCCCACTGTTGGCTCCCTGGCCACTACAAGGGACCTGGTCCCCAGTCCCCTTCCTAGGCTGGCCTCTGTGGGGCTTGGGAGTGGCTTAGGCTGCTCACACCTCTTCCGCTTCCCTGCCATGGTCCCTACTTCTCCTTTCTGGGAGGCCTGGGCCAGGTCTCAAACGGGGGGGCTCCTTTTGGGGGAGAATTAGGGGAGGTCAGGCCCAGGCCGGGCTGGCTGGTCAGTCCTGTGACTCGTGGGCCTGGAGAATTCCCCCTCCTCTCCCCGCCAGGCTTCCTCACAAGGCCCCCATTGTCCAGGAAAATCACGCCATTGTTTCCTGCCTGCGCACCCCCAGCCCAGGGACTCCCCCCCAATCCCGCAGACAGCACCCCGGGCCTAGGACTGGGGTCTGCGAGGTGGGAGGCCAGGCTTGGGGGGTTGAGGGTACCTTGGCTACCCTTTACCACCAGCCAGACTCTGGAAGGACACAGGGGATGGGGGGGGTTGGGTAGGGGTATAAGCCCTGGCTCCTTCCTCTCCCACAAACCCCCCACCCCCAGCTCTTTCCTCTCCTGCAGGCAGCTGGGCTGGGGAGGGAGCAGAGGCTGGAGCAGGGGCAGGAAGCCGGCTCAGGGGCAGCAGGAAACGCAGGAAGCGGTGGGGAGGGTGGGGAGCAGGGGCCTGGGCTATTGTTCCATTTTCTCTGGAAAGAAAACTAGAGGAAAAACAGAAGACAGAGTCCCCTCCCCCCGGGCCTTCGGGGAATCCCCCTCAGGCTGGGGCAGGGAGTAGGGGTCCCTAGATGGCTAGGGTCCAGGAGTGAGGCTGAGGGGTGGCCACTGTCCCTTACTATGGGTGAGAGGAGTGGGTGGGAGGGCTGGCAGGCCTCCCCAGCTCCTCTAGCCCTGGCATTGACTCCATGGCACTGGGTCCTGGTGTTTTGCTCCCCTCAAGCCCCTTATCTGTGGCCAGCCCAAGCAAGGAGGCTCAAAATATCCATGCTCACCCCTCCAAGAGCCGCCCATGTTTCTCCTGTAACCCCACCGGCCCCTCTGTACTTCATTTTGCTCTACAGCCTGCACGCTGGGTCCCAGCAGACTCAGCCCTTGTCCCCATGGCTGTGCTGGGTCCTATCTCCTCACCCTTGCTCTCATCAGGCCCTGCCAACAACTGTGGGCCTCTCTGAACGCTGCCTGCTTTTCTTCTGGTCTGAAGCTTGCCTGCTTCAGGAAGCCCTCTAAACCTGTCACTTGCTTGTCTCGGGCCCATGCCGCGCAGCGTGTGGGGCCGGAAATGGCTGGAGATGGAGTGCCTCACTGCTCCAGTCTCCACCACACCCACTCTAAGTGCTGATGCCAGGTGAGGCCGTTTTGGCGATCCAGCCCTCGAATGTCCATATCCACAGCTGAGGACCCACGGCGCGCCGGGCATCAGATGCCAGGGTTTCCCTAGTCCATGAAACGGTTTCACTCTCCCAGTCACTCCCTTTTTACAGAATCTGAAATCGAGGCTCTGAGTTGAAATAACCCGTTAGAGGTCATGCAGCCAGGGGAGGGGTGGGTCCAGCCCTGGTCCCAGCCTTGGCCACCAAGGGTGGCTATCGCCTCTGAGACGTCTGTTCAAGAGGAGCTACCCACCACAAGTGGAGGGGAGAGCCGGGCACCAACAGCACAAGTGTGAACTGTAGGGGAGGGGAGATGAGAAATGCCAGCAGCCAGTACTCTACTCCCTTGAGGTGGTGGCCGTGGCTAGGCAGAATGATTATGGCCCACCTGAGCGATCCCAACTTTTTAACTTGGCAGCTGTAAGCTGGGGTCAAGGACTCCTTCTGGGGCTGGGGCACAAAGGTCTCTGGTCAAGTGGAACTCCCCTAGGGCAGGAGCTCCTGCTTTCAGCAGGTCCCCAGGTAGGCTCAACTGAGAGTTGGCAGTGGGTGTGTGCTTGGGCCATGCCACCCTCCAACCACGCTCCCCAAAACTCACTGTTGTTGGACTTGAGGTCTCGGTGGATGACAGGCACCAGGGCCTCGCAGTGCAGGTAGTGCATCCCACGGGCAATTTGCACGGCCCAGTTGACCAGCACATGGGGGGGCACACGCCGCCCAGCCAGGGCACGGCTGAGGGGCCCACCGGCCGCGTACTCCATCACCAGGCACAGGTTGGGCTCCTCCAGGCACACGGCCTTGAGGGCAATGATGTTGGGGTGTGCCAGCATGGCAAAAAGCCGGGCCTCCTGGCGCACACTCTCAGCTGTCACACTGATGTCCTCATCAGGGTCCTGACGAGCTGCCTTCACAGCCACCAGCTCACCTCGCCAGCTGCCGCGGTATACCTTGCCGAAGCCACCAATGCCGATCACCTCCTCCAGGCGCAGCTCCTGGAAGCTGGCCACCTCGCAGGGGGGCGGGCCGCCGCCCCGAGACACATAGTTGGATGGAAAGATGCCCACCTGTCCGCCCACCTGGCCCGCCCACCAGCCCTCATCGCCTGAGATAGCTGCATCCCGGGACAGCACCTCCACACGGTCACCCTTCCGCAGGGCCAGCTCATCCTGCCCACTGGGCTCATAGTCGAACAGGGCTGTCCACACAGGGTTGGCATAAGCCGCTGCCTTCGGGGACCCCTCCGGCCAGCCTCCTCCGCTGCTGCCCCCACCGCCCCCACCGCCCCCGCTGTTCCATGACCCCAGTGGGCTCTTGAGGAAGAGGTTCTTCAAGGGCTCCATGGCTGGGAGCCGGCGTTGGGGCGTGTGGGGGACCTTCCCTGGGTGTCCCTGGTCCCCACCCCTGCTGGCTGCCGAGGCCCTAGTCCCGGAACTTGGGCATCCGGGCCCTGGCCCTCAGCCCCAGACCCACGCCTCTCTGGGGAGCCAGGAGTGTCGCCTCCCGGCCCCCCGCATCTCGGGCTTCTAGAGGACGGCACCCCAGGGCAGTGTGGTCAGGCTCCCGGGGTGGGACCCCGGGGCCTCCGGCGTCTCACCATGGCTAGCTCGGAGGGGCCAGGGCGTCCCTCAGTTCCGGAGCAGTCCTGGGAGCCTGGCTCTGGCACCCGCCAAGTGTAAGGTGGTGCCAGCGAGGGGCAGCGCCTGGATTCCGGTTAGGTTTTTTTGCACAGGGGGTGGCTGGAGCGTCCCTAGTTGGGCCGAGCTGCCTCTTCCCGGCCCGGCTCCCTCAGCCCGACGGCTCCAACCCCGTTCTCTTCTTCCTCCTCCCTTTGTACTTTGGCCCCGGGGGCGGGAGGCAGAGGTGGAGGGTGGAGTTTCACTTTTTTCCGCTCTTCTCCCTCCTGCAGGAAACAGCATCAGATGACGCGAGCGGGTAGCACCGCTCCCCTCCCAGAGGCTGCAGGCGGCTGGGCCGGGGAGTTCCAGGGTAGGCAGGCGAGGAGGGGCAGAAGGAGGGGAAAGGTAGGCCCGACGCCCCATCACAGCAGGTTTAGGGTCGAAGTTGGTCTCTGCTAAGGACGGGCCATCCCCGCCCTCTGCATACGCATCAGCAAAATGGGGTGAAGAACTTGGCTTGGGAGTGGGGCGAACCGGAGTCTGCTCTTGGCTACGAAGTTGCAGGGCTGTGTGACCCATCCTCTTTGTGCCTCATTTTCTTCATATCTGAAATAGGGGCCAGAAGCTCCGCTTTCCACTGGCGAAGACTGGAGGAGGACGGAATTGGCTGCACCTCAAGCTCTTGGAAGGGGTCGTCTAAGGCTCTCCTCACCTGGGAAACAATCCACTTCTTCACGCCCCTTCCCCAGTGGGCAGAAACCTGAGACTGTTGTCCCGAAATCTGCCCCGTGATAGGGTTCAGAATAGCTAAGCGTCCCTTACAACCGCTGGGTTGCCCCCAATCGCCTTGAGCCTGTCACTTTAAGAAAGACGACGCTTTCCTATTTCGACTATTCCTGCCTGTTCTCGAGGGTCTTCCTCTACACTCTAGGTCTGAGCTCTGACCCGGAAGTAGAGGCCGCTTGGGCAGAGAGACGGTCATGACGTTTGAGGTCCAGCACTAAAAGGGCGGACCAAGAGGGGCGTGCTTCGGCGGCGGAGAGCTCTCGCCCTACCCCTGGGGAGTCCACGCCTCCATCCTTTTCCCCGCCTCCTGTAACTCACTGGGAGAGCTTTACGCCAGTTAACGCCGCCGTTACCCAATGGCCACCCAACTATCCCTTCGGTTCCGCCCGGGGGTCTCCGCGAGCTTGGCGCTGCCTAGGTGTGCGCATGCGCTCAAGCGCTTCTACTTTTGGATCTTTTCCCTTGCACCTAGATTCTGCGCACGCCCACAGGGCTCCGCCGCTTTTTATCTCCATCACCTCCCTGCGCTTGCGCATTCATGCCGTAAGGTTTTCCTTTTCCGGGTCCCAACTGGGCCCGTCGGGCGCATGCGCCACTGCAGGCTGGCGGCTCGCGGCTCCTGCTTCCGGCCTCCCCCTTGGGCCGGCTCCCGCAGAAGCGGGGCGAACGCGGAGCCCTAAGCGAGTGACCTGTGACCCCGGAAGTGGACCTCAGTGTCCCCGGGCTCTCCCGGGCCGGAGCCGAGAGAGCCGTCACCTGTACCCCCGGAGCACCCACCCCACGCCCACTTCTGGATGCCGCCGACGGGTACCCGGCCCGTGCCCCGCGCCTGCCTGCCGGCTCGGCCCCTCGGAGCAGTTCTGGGCCGGGGGTGGGGGCCCAGACCCCGCCCCTGATGCGGCTCCACCCCCGCGCCCGAGCTTCGCGCCGTTGACCGCCTCGGCCGGCCCCGCCCCCTGCCCGCACCTTCGCCCGGCCGACCCCTCTCCCCCGCTGGGGGAGGCCATGGCGTGAGCGCGAGGCCGGGCCCCGGGGCCCTCGGGCGCCAGGCGGGGCATGGGCCGGGGGCCGCCCCCATGAGGGTCCCGGGAGGGGGGCGCGCGCAGCAGCGGCGGGGCCATGGGGTCGCAGGTATTGCAGATCCTGCGCCAGGGGGTGTGGGCCTCTCTCACCGGCGGTTGGTTCTTCGACCCGCACCAGAGCACCTTCTCCAACTGCTTCCATCTCTATGTGTGGATCTTCCTGCTCACCTTTCCCTTCTTGCTGTACATGGTGAGATACTGCCGCCACCTGTAACTCCCTCCTGGAAAAGGGAGGGCAGATGTCACGGAGGGGTGGCAGCCTGGTAGGGATTCAGGGCTGTGTCTCGGGGACTGGCGTGTGGAAAGAGGAATCTAGAGTTTGGGGTGTGTAGAGGAGAGACCAGATTCTTCCCTTCCTGGGCTGGGTGACCTTGAGCCCCTCGCTTAGTCTCTCTTTCCAGTTAAAAGGCAGAGCTCCCTGACAGGGTCTTTGTTCTAGTTGCAAAGAAGGGTGAGGAAACCTTCTTGTGAACTTGTGAATCCTAGCCACGATTGGTGGTAGGTCCATCCCAGGGGGCCAGGCTGTGTGAGGAAGGACCTGACTGGCTGTCACCCCCAGGTCCTGCCCCCCAGCTTGATGGTGGCTGGTGTGTACTGCCTTGTGGTGGCTGTCATCTTCGCTACCATCAAGACTGTGAACTATCGGCTGCATGCCATGTTCGACCAGGGCGAGATTGTGGAGAAGCGCAACTCTACCATAGGAGAGCCAGAGGAAGCGCCCGCCCAGGGGGACAGCAGTCTGCCCAGGTGGGTGGCACAGCGGCTGTGTTGGGACTTGAGGGTTCTTAGTGTCTGGGCCTGAGCATTGGAGGATGGAGAAGGGGGTTAGGGAAGCTTGGCTGTATGAGCTGGTGCACACTTGTTCTGTGGTCGGCCCTGGACTTGTAAGGGCACTGTTGAGAATGGAGGAGTGATGGGGATGGCAGAAGAAGTACTGTATAAAGAGGAAAAGTTAGTTCAAAGTTGGTGCTCTTTTTCACTGCTAGGGACCCTGGAGTGGAGATGACAGTGTTTCGGAAAGTGAGTTCCACACCCCCAGTGCGCTGTAGCTCCCAGCATTCCGTGTTTGGCTTCAACCAGGTCTCGGTGAGTGGTGTCAGCCCTCAGCCTCTCCCGTACCTCTTCTGGGAGCTCGTCCCCACTGTGGGTATGTCCTGAGCCTACTTTTTGCCTTGTTTGCACCTTCTTGCTTCTCTTTGTCTGCTCAGGAGTTGCTGCCCCGGATGGAGGACTCCGGGCCCCTCAGAGGTAGGTGGCTCCTGCTCAGGGGTGAAGGTGGTGGTGGAAGAGGGGATGGCATGCAGATGCCTCGAGGTCCTGCTGACACCTCTGGGGCCATGGTTGCAGACATCAAGGAGCTAGTGCGAGAGCAGGGCAGCAACAACGTGATCGTGACCTCAGCTGATCGAGAGATGCTGAAGCTAAACTCGCAGGAGAAACTGAGTGAGTGGGTATGGTGTAGCAGGGGCTTGGGGGAAGACTAGCCATCTTGTCTTTGTCACCCCAACTTTTGCTCCCCTGGGGCTCTCTTTGTCCTTCTGGATGGGGCCTCCTCAGTGTCCTGTCCCAGCTGGGCTCTTGGAGAGAGGAGGTCATAGGACCACCAGTTCTTGGAGCATGCCGTTATCTCATTTTCTGTCTTCGTTTCTTCTGATAGTTGGAGACCTTCCCCAGACGCCCCCGGGAGCTGCCCCAGATCCCTCTCTCCCGAGCACGGATTCTTCAGAACGTTCTCCCCTGGCTGGAGATGGAGCTCCCTGGAGTGGGAGCAGTGTGGCTGACACTCCCATGAGCCCCCTGCTGAAGGGGAGCCTCAGCCAGGAGCTGAGCAAGAGCTTCCTGACCCTGACGCGGCCTGACCGGGCCCTGGTGAGGACCAGCAGTCGACGGGAACAACGCCGGGGAGCGGGCGGCTACCAGCCCCTGGACCGGCGGGGCTCAGGTGAGCCCCTGCCCCAGAAAGCTGGCTCCTCCGATTCCTGCTTCAGTGGCACTGACCGGGAGACGCTGAGCAGCTTCAAGAGTGAGAAGACCAACTCCACCCACCTGGACAGCCCCCCTGGTGGGCAGGCCCCTGAGGGCAGCGACACAGACCCACCTTCTGAGGCTGAGCTGCCTGCCTCACCAGATGCTGGAGTCCCCTCTGACGACACGCTGCGTTCCTTTGACACAGTCATAGGAGCAGGGACGCCGCCGGGCCCAGCTGAGCCACTCTTGGTTGTCCGGCCCAAGGACTTGGCCCTGCTGCGGCCTGGCAAACGGCGGCCACCTATGCGAAGACACTCCCCACCCGGCCGTGCCCCTCGGCGGCCCCTGCTTGAAGGCGGGGGCTTCTTTGAGGACGAAGACACCAGCGAGGGCAGCGAACTGAGCCCAGCCTCCAGTCTCCGATCTCAGCGCCGCTACAGTACTGAAAGCTCCTCTTCTACTTCCTGCTACTCCCCCGAGAGCTCCCGGGGTGCAGCAGGGGGACCCCGGAAGCGACGGGCCCCCCATGGGGCTGAGGAGGGGACTGCTGTGCCCCCCAAGCGGCCCTATGGGACCCAGCGGACGCCTAGTACCGCCAGCGCCAAAACACATGCCCGTGTGCTGAGCATGGATGGGGCAGGGGGTGATGTCCTGAGGGCCCCGCTGGCTGGTTCCAAGGCTGAGCTGGAGGCCCAGGCAGGGGTGGAGCTGGCTGCTGGTGAGCCTGCTGTGCTGCCCACTGAGGCCCGGAGGGGACCTGCTGCCAACCAGCCCGGCTGGCGGGGGGAGCTGCAGGAGGAAGGTGCTGTGGGAGGAGGTGAGTGCCGGCTCCAGGGCTGGGGTGGGGAAAGCAAGCCAGGTAGGGGCTTGGCTTTAGGCAAGGGACAGGCTGGAGGGGACCTGGTCAGAGTCGTCTCAGCTTGTGTCTCAAGCAGTAGATGGATGTGGACTCAGCGATTGAGTGATGCCTGCCAAACCCCTCGGATAAGCAGGGCTCCAACAATGGGGAGACTGAGGCACAGAGCCCTCAGACACCTGGCTCCAGGTCTTGCAGTTAGTGCAAAGCTGCTGCTGTTTGAGGACTTTCAGCTTCCACGTTTATTCTGGGCCACCAGTGGGGCAAGGCGGGTCACATTGTCCTTATTTCCAAGTGTGGAAACTGAGGCACAAGTGGTTAGGTGACCTGGCTGGTCTCCAGAGGCAGGGCACGGTGGTTCTATGGGCAGATCTGACCTTTGGCTCCATGAAGGAGCATTTGCTGCCTGCTCCCAGGCTCTGTTTAAACCTCTGTCACTTACGGTCGGGGGTCTCTCTCTGGGCAGCGGCCGAGGAGACTGGCAAACAGGACCGCTCGAGCAATGTGAGGCG